AGACCCAGTCAACACTGGGAACAAACAGCAGGCTAGATGCGTTGCTGCCTGCCACTTTGCGGTTGCGGCAATGCAAAGTTGCTTTCGGAAGGCCGCAGCAGTAAATACTGTGTACAAACAGCAAGTTCAGCGCAGTGCGTTGCTACCTGCCAGCTTGCGGTTGCTACGGTGGAAACTTGCCTCGGTAAGGCAGCCCGAGAGGCTACTGGGAAAACAAACAGCACGCTCAGTGAAGCGCGTTGCTGCCCGCAATTTGGTGGTTAATTAATTACTGCAATTTAAAAATTGCCTTAGTAAGACAGCCCCAGAGCCCACTGGGAACAAACAGCAGGCCGAGCGCAGTGCGTTCTTGCCTGCCACTTTGCGGAAACTGCAGTGAACCCAGTGCACTCCTCTGGTGTGCGCATTGCGCTGCCTCTGTTGGTTTTCGTTCTGGTGGGACCGCTTGCGTTCCTCGCGTGAGCGCTCTCGTGTAGAAGCCAAGGCCATTGGCTCTTGCTTCTTCCCAGGCCCCGTGCCAGAGGCCGGCCGGCGCAGGCAGTCTTCTATTAACGGACTTGTTCTCGCCGAACACGGCTTGGTGCTAGACACGGCCTGGCCCAAATCCCTGCCAGTGGCAGCCCGCTGGAAACCTGCCCCCGGTCTAGTAGACCACGCGCCGCACTCAGCACAGAAACTCCGTTTGCCGTGGGGCAGCTCCAGTGGCCCAGACGGCCCCAGCCCCGCCTGGAGCTTTCGCCCAAGCTCGTGCCAGCAGTGCCGGCCACACCGCAAGCAGCTGCTCCAGCAGATGCCTTGTTCACAGGGGCTTCTTCCAGTGGAAGTCGTGCGGAGCCCGTGGTTCCCAGCCCAAACCAACCGTCAGAGACGGTCTTGGTTTCGGCGCGCCCACCCTGGACCGGGAGCGGTCTAGGTGAGGTCTGGGACAAGGAATGTCTTGGACGAGGAATGCAGCTGTCAGTGATAGACGTCGCAGCGCGCTCGTCTCTACACAAGGCCGTGATAGTATCAACAGGCAGTGGACATGGAGGAAACTTTGCAGTGCAGAGCGGCCTTCTTTCGAGTCCCCGCCGACAGCAACATAGCTGACGGTCCTAGCCTTAGAGGCTAGCAGTAGCGGAGAACAACTGACTCTGTGACCTCTTAGGTTCACAGTTTTCAGGCCTAGCAGGCTCTGCTCGCGCTGTCTTCACAGTGGGTTCACATCATCCGGCTTAGTAGCCTCTGTTTCTGCATCTGCCTCGTAGGCACTCGCCAGTGGCGGAAAGCAGCTGACTCTGTGACCTTGTAGGCTCACAGTTTCCAGACCTCGTAGGCTCTGTTTAAGCTGCCTTTACGGTGGGCACCAATAATTTTCTTTCCCTTTGCTAGGCACGTGTTCGTCCGTGCAGGAAAAGGGCCGATAGCTGTCTTTGTGACCTAGTAGGTTTACAGTTTTCGCGCCTGGTAGGCTCTGTTCGCGCTGGCTCCAATTATCCGGCTTAGTAAGCTTTGGTTTTGCATCTGCTTCGCTAAGTCTGCGTGGGGCATCCCCAGTGGCCAAGTCGGCCCCAGGCCCGCCTCTCGGCTTCGAAGCGGTTCGGGAAGTCTCGCCCAGGGTCTTTCCGGCAGTACCGGCCGCACCGCAAGCAGGTGCCTTAGCAGAGGCGTTGCTCACAGGGGCTTCTTCCAGCGGGAGTCCTGCGGGGCCAGTGGCCCCCGGCCCAGACCAACTGTCAGAGACGGTCGTGGTTTCGGTTCGCCTACCTCCAGTTGAGATGAATGTCTGGGGCGAGGCATTCAATTGTCAGTGGCAGAAGTCGCCAAGGCCTGCCGGCCTGGGTCGGCTTCCCGCCTGAGTGCCCGGTAGGCAGGTTGTTTTCAAGCAGGCCTGCTGGCCTCTAGCCTAGCAGGCTTGTGTTGTGTCTCGTCACCGGTAACAGAGAGGAGACTCTTGCAACCTCGCAGGCCCGCGGCCTTTAGGCCCCCCAGCGGCCTCATTAAGCCTCGTAGGTCTCACGCGCCGAGTCGGCATACGATCGTCAGAGGCAGATGTTGCCAAGGCCTACTGGCGCGAGGCCTAGTCGGCTCTCGTTAACGTGCCTGGTAGGCACGTTATTCTACGTCAGGCCTAGTAGCCCCAAGCCTCGCTGGCTTGTTGTGTGTCATCGCGATGTGAATCGTCAGTGGAAGTGATGACAGGAGACTTCTGTGGCCTTGTAGGCTCCCAGCTTCAAAGGCAACTGGCCCCAAACCTAGTAGGATTCTCCTTATGTCTGCCCAGTCGGCGCGTGGTCATCACTGGCAGAGAGGTCTTCACTGGTGTCCCTATGGCCTTGCAGCTCACAATTTTCTGGTATAACAGACTCAGGCCTAGTAGGCCTCTTGTTCTGTCTGCCTGGCAAGAGGAGCGCCCACAAGTGACTCCTGAAACCTTGTAGGCCGCCAGGCCCCAGGCCTAGTAGGCCTGCCCTGTAGCGCCGTCGCGCGAGGTGCTGCTTAAATTGCACTTCAAATGGTCGCGTTTTGCTGACTTTCCTGTCCCAGGGTCAACTGCGAGTCCCTAACGGCCCGCTGCGAGTCTCTAAGGGCCCCACAGCGAGAGCCCAGTGGCCAACCACGCGGTTTTCTTGGCGGCAGCATGCGCCCTGCCTAGCCCTGCGCACAGCAGTGCTGCCAACCACGCCGCTTGGGACTCTTGCGCGGAGTCCGCGCCGTGCCCTGCAGTGTCTGCAGCACTGGTTCAACTGCGCCTTTGGCGGCGCGACTGGCGCGCGAACAGCAGTGAAAGTAATGCTTTCACTCCATACGCCAGGGCAGTGCCCCGGAGATCTGTTACTTACCAGGGCGGTGCATCGACTGACCTCAGTGAGGCTTTAGGTGCTTTCCTTGCTGAATTGCCTCAGTGAGGCAGTTGTAAAACTGCTGGGAGCAATCTGGCAGACACCGCAGCTCGTGTTCCACCCTATCTGCTCAGCCTCAGTTGAAGCGTGCTGAGCTCTGGAAGGCTCCGGTGGAAACTGTTTTCTACCGCACCTGACTCACAGTGCGGGCAGGTGGTTTCAAGCCTAAATTTGCTCGTAAATGGCGAACCTTTTGGTGCAAGGACCCGCTGCGAGTCCCTAAGGGCCCTTGCGAGCTGCTAAGGGCCCCCTGCCCGCTGCTTTTCTGTGGGCTCGCGTTAGTAATGACGAGCTTCTGTGTTGCTTTAAGACAGCGCCGCGCAGTGCGCGCACAAGGCCCCACAGCCTGATGTTACTTGCACTGCTGGCCCCAACCGAGACTGGGGGAAGAACATTGCGCATCAAACGCAGTGCGCTGCTCTGCCGCGCAACGCGCAACGAAGGGGCTTGTATCACCCGTTCGTGCCCGCTGCTGCAGTGCAGCAGCCGCCGCTTCTCAGCTCTGGGAGGCACAAGTGCAGACTCCTTTCTCCAGCACCTGTCTCACAGTGCGAGCAGGTACTTTTAGTCCTTAAATTGCCTGCAAATGGCCGATTTTTTGTTGTACAAGCCCGCTGCGAGTCCGTAAGGGCCACTGCGGGTTGCTAAGGGCCCTCTCCCTTGCTCTTTTGCAGGCATAAACGTCGTGTGAATCCCCACGTCTGTTCCCCAAGTGCGGCCTTGGAGCAGTGCCCATAGGCAAGGGAATCGCAAGCACCCTGGGGGCTACAGATTAGCCGCCGCGTAGCGACCCAGTGGGTCGCTAGAGCTCAGAAGCAACAGCTCGTTTCGAGTGCGAGCTGCTGCCATACTTGCTGAGCCTACAGTTGTGGGCGAAGCACATAGCAGGCAGTGACCTGTTCGTGTGGATTGACAATGACGCAGTGCGTACATCCCTACACAAAGCCTTCACAAGGAAGGCGGCAGGCGCCGCGATATAGTATCGCAGGCAGTCGACGTGGAGGAGTCCCTGCAGTGCAGGGCTGCTTTCTTCCGCGTGCCCATCGTCAGCAACATTACTGATGGCCCCAGCAGAGACTGGTGAGAAGAGACTGAGAAACTTGGCGCAGAGCGCTAATTCCTTCCTCCCAACGCAGTGCTGTTGGCCTTGTCACTCGGCGCGGACTAGATGGGGGGTGAGTAAGGCTGCGAGTGCCTTGAAGGGGGGTGAACCAGTCGTTCGCCTTACCTGCGACCAGCGGTCGTTCTTTTCAGACAGATGCCAGCGGCATCCTTCGTTTCAGTGCCCGAAGATCGGGCCCGAACTGACCCCCCATGTCCGATAGGAGAAAAAAAGAGAGTGCTTGCACAGGGTTTAACTGCAGCGCGGTTAAGGGTTTCCCGTTACGCGCGCAAACGGAAGTTTCGTTGGGAAATAAGCTTCCATCATGCGTGCGTGAATGGGTTTTATTTCCCGCCGAAAGTGTAGACAAAGTTTGGTCGTAAAAGGAAAACAGTGTTTTCACTTGTGTGTTGTGAACACTAGACAAACTTTGCCGTGCAGCTTTCGGCTTGAAGTGGATCTGTGATCCAAAAGTTTTTATCCCACCCACCACACCCTGTATAGTATGCGGGGTCTGGGACCACGCTTGTGGCAGCAGACCTGCCGGAGCAGCGCTCCTTGTTCTATCTCTAGCAGAGATCTCATCTTCAGCACAGCGTGCTTTGCTGTACATAGGCCGTAGGCCGTCAACAACGCAGAGTAGCTAGTAGTAGACTGCAGCGACCCTGTGGGTCGAAGAAAGTTTCACCTTTGTCTCCAGAAGTACTGAGACACCCCTGGTAGGGGGCAGGAGGGGGGTGAACCAGTCGTTCGCCTTACCTGCGACCAGCGGTCGTTCTTTTCAGACAGATGCCAGCGGCATCCTTCGTTTCAGTGCCCGAAGATCGGGCCCGAACTGACCCCCCATGTCCGCTAGGAGAAAAAAAGAGAGTGCTTGCACAGGGTTTAACTGCAGCGCGGTTAAGGGTTTCCCGTTACGCGCGCAAACGGAAGTTTCGTTGGGAAATAACGTCTTGAGTTATGAATACAAGTTGAGGGTTGAAGCCTTCAAGATGATCCTGGAGGGAACTGCTACCATGTCGGAGGCGCTTCGGGCCGTGCGTGAGGACCCGTCTTTGAAAGAGGCATACTTCACGACGCCTCTGGCACTTCACACAGCCGGCATGCCGAATAAGTTTCGGAAGGGCAATCATAAAGGGAAGGATAAGACACCAGGGCAAGAAATACCGCCGCCGCCTGCGCCGCATCAGAATGGGCGTGGAACAGGGAAAGGCAAAGGCAAAAAGGGCAAGGGCCAGGTTGTCTTGGCTAACGGGAAACAGCTTGCTCTGGTGTCGGCGACGCCTGATGGTCGCCAGTTGTGCTATGCTTACAACCACCAAGGCTGCACCGATCCGAAGTGCACCCGTGTTCATGCATGTCCAGTGGCCGGGTGTTTCGCCGAGCACCCAGCCTCGCAGCACGAAGCTGCGACCGCAGGCAAGTGACAGGCTTGCGCTCAGCAGGGGGCGCAAGGGGACAAGCTTCCGGCGTTGCTGTCAGGACAACCTGTGGCATCAAGGGTGGTACATGTCATTGCAGATCCTGCTGAGCGCTTTGATTGGAAACCGCATCTCAGCAATAGTTTGTCGCAGCCAGAATTCATTGCGTTTGGGTTTGATGCAAACAACATGTTTTGTGGTGACGCTTGGGATCAGTTGTTTGAGCTTGTGAAACAACCGAAAACCGTGATCTTGATCTCGCCACCCTATGATACTTTTAGTCGGGCGAGGCATAAGCAACCTGGGCCCACTCCACTTCGCAGTGATAGGTGGCCCAGAGGTTTTCCATGGCTTAAGGATTCGTCTATGCAGAAGGTGACTTCTGCCAATCATTTTGTCGACCAGTGTTTGAAAGCAACAGTTTTCGCGGCCGAGGCTGGCAATTTCTTTATGTGGGAGGCGCCGGAACACTTGGGCCGCACTGCTGATGGCCTCGTGCCGAGCTCCATTTGGGCTTGGCCAGAATTACTTGACTGCATACCGCGTTTTGCTGCCACAACCTTTGTGCATTACTTGTGTGAGTTCGGGGCGGACATGGCTAAACCAACACGTTACTTGAGCAATCTGCCCTTCTTTCGTCACTCGCCGCGGCCTTTCAATGGGATGCCGGTGTTGGATGCTGATCAGCGCTACGTCGGGCCGCTGCCCGCGTCGTGCCCTCATGGGGGTCATTCACCTAGCACCGGCAAATCGCAGGCTACGCAAAAGTGGAACTTGCCGCGGGCCCACGGTTGGCCCCTTCAGCTGTGTCAATTTATGGTAGCAGCCATCGACTTCTCGCTGCAAGCAGATGGGGAGTGCAAATCCTCTAAGTCGAAGCTTCCCGATAAAGTAGTCAAGGTCCCCGTAGGGTCCGGTCCACCCGCAGGGTCCGGTTCGCGCCCTAAGGATCCACCCTTGCCCGGCGTTTCAGGTTCTTTTCCTTCAGGTTGCAGTACCGCGGCTGCTCCTCCTTCCCGCTCTGGTAGTAGTTCTCCTAGGGCCTCGGCGGTTCCTTCCCTTTCTGGTTGTAGTTCCCCCGCACATCCTTTGAAGTCCTTGGGCGATCCCGAGAGTGCAGCATCAAAGCTCCTGGCAACACCAGGGCTGCTAGAACGTCGTCGTGTGTTAGAGCTATTTGACATGCTGCCCCGCGAGGAGCCGCCTAGGGAGTCGACTACAGCTACACCGGGCAGTTCTTTCGCAACGGGTGCATATCGCAAGGGTGGCTTAGTCGGTTTGAGGCATCATTCCACTGTGCTGCCGAAGTCTACACAGGTTCTAACAAGGTACTTGCAGCAGGTGGCACCGGGCTTTCGAGCATCAGCTATTGCGATCTTTGATGATGTCCGGACCGGGGTCCACCGTGATGCCCGGAATGCGCACTATCCGAACACGGTAGTGCCGTTGTCGGATTTTGAAGATGGCCAAATCTGGTTGGAACAGCAAGGAGGCGATGTATGGGAGACAACGCCAGAAGGGCGGAGACCTGGCGTCCTCTTGGAGGTGTGCAAGGGCCCTGTAAGCTTCGATGCATGGCGGTCATACCATGCTACGCGATCGTGGAAGGGCCGTCGGGTGGTTATGGTTGCATACATGACCGACAAGCTTGGCAATGTCGAGGCCGCCGACCTCGCCCACCTTAAGGCCCTGGGGTTTAAGATACCACTTGACTCGGATGCATCAAATGGTGAGACTTCAGAGGTTCTGGATACTGCCGAGGGCCTAAGCACAGGAGACACAGCACCACCAGTGCCATTCAGACCAGAGGCATGTGGGAACCGCGGCAACCCCATTCGTGTTGAGTGGGAAGGACAAGAGGCTGACATGACAGACGGGTTTGGGTTGTGTTCCCCGGCGCGGTGGAGGCCGATGGACCGGGGACATCGCCTGGGCCCAGCGGCTACTGCACATGCGCAATCCATGTACCGGATGCTTACGAACTTCATTTCGGAGCATGTTCCTGATCCCCGTCGCTTCTGCTTGAGCCTACTTTCAGGTAAGGTCGAATCATCTCCATTCGCCGGGGAGAAGTTGGAAGCTCTGCGTAAGCAGTGGGCAGAGGTACTTGGTGCAGAGAACAATCCCGACGTGCTCGAGATCCCAGATGCGCAGCCCTTCTTGCTTAGGGCCTTGTCGCTTTCGGCTGAAAGGCTTGAGGACCCAGACTGGCAGATTTTAACGGAGGGAGTCGACTGTTTCTGCACCGGGGTACCCCTAGGACTTAATTGTGACATACAGCACTTGCCGCAGGTGTATGAGAAGAAATGTCATTGGCGGAAACTTGATGAATCCGAGTTGGAGTTTGATCGGGAAAATTATAAGAGTGCCGAGTTGAGCTCCGCCGAGCTCCTCGAAAAGTTTCGTGCAGAAGAAAAACTTGGGCGGATGAAACCGACGACGCTCGGAGCGCTGCGCGAAGAGTACAGTGAGGACATGATCCGCGTGGCTTCCATGGGAGCCATCCTCAAACCAGATGGCAGTGTGCGGCCATTACATGATGGTACACACGGCGTCAATGTCAACAATCAGATACGCTTGGTGAATCAGCTAGCGGTTCCAGGTCCGGCTGAGATGTCATTTTCAGTTCGGCAATCAGGTGCTATGCAGGAGATTCCCTTGGCCGCAACTGCGGACGTGAGTGCTGCACATAGGTTGGTCTTGCATCGGAAGAGCGATTGGGCCTTGATGTCATGCAGAGCAGAACAAGGGTCCGACACGATTTGGATCAATAAAGTAGGAACGTTCGGGCTTAGCCCAGCCTCGTTTTGGTGGAGCAGGTTGTATGGAATCATAGGCAGAGTGGTCACCCGTTGCCTACTGCAGCACGCCTTTTACCACTTCGCTTATGTGGACGACGTGCGTCCCACATTTTATGGGAAGCGGATGTTCATCAACTTCTTGGTTTGGTTAATCCTTCAAGAATTGATAGGGGTGCCTTTTGCTTACCATAAGTTCAAGGGAAAGACGCTGGTCGCATTCATTGGCTACGAGCTTGACTACGGTGCCAGGCTTGTGGGCCTCAGCGAAGCCCGAGGCGCTTGGGTGTGCAACTGGGTCGATGAGGCACGGAAAGCGCGTTTTGTCGTTTCAGTTAGAAAGTTTGCGGAGTTTCTTGGGAGGCTTGGTTTCGTGTCCAGGGTCGTGTACTGGATCAAACCACACTTGGCCCCCTTGTATGCTTGGTCAGCTGCAGCTTCGAAGAGCCACGTTGCAAAAATGCCGGACACGGTCATCTTGACTTTGCTTTACTTGGAGGCAACGCTTAAAGACATCAACTTCAAAGTCGCACCGGGTCGACAACGGGAAGAGACAGGGCATCTCTTTCACACGGACGCTAAATGCGACGATGGTTATGTTGTCTTAGGAGGTTGGGACTCTAGCCAGGACCTTTCGGTTGCACCTTGGTTCTCTATAGTGGTTAAGCCTGCGGATGCCCCGTACCTTTTCGACGAAGATGGAAAATCACAATGGGCGTCAGCCTCAGCCGAGCTGTTAGCTACATTGGCCGCGTTATGGATCTTTGGACACCTTAAAGAGAGTAGTTCGCAGAGGCGACTCCCAGTTGCCATTGCCGGGGCCACAGACAATCAGAGCAACGAGAAGCTTCTTAGGAAACAATCCACGACTAAGTGGCCGCTCATGCTGATCAACATGCAGCTCTCTCACCTCTTAAGAAAAGCTTGTTTGAGACTCAGCTTGACTTGGAAACCTCGCGACGAAAACAAGCTGGCAGATGCTCTGACGAATCAGGATTTTATCTCTTTCAGTTCCGAACACCGCTTGGATGTCAGTTTCAGTGAGCTACCACTTGAGCTCTTGAATCAGTTGTGGTCGTCGAAGTCCGACTTCGATGCGTCTCGCAAGGCGCTGCAGTCTGCAAGCAGTTTTCAGCCTCGTGTCCCGAAGAGGAAGCGCGAAGGCACGCCCTGGTGACTCAGGGAGAGGGGGCGAGGCTCCGCACACCAGGTGTGCCTGCCTTCCCTCCGACGAGGGGACATCCACCACCATCCGGGAAAAAGAGTCTTCGTCCGAGTGCCTGAATGATTGACTTTATATTCTCTTTCATATATTTGTCTCTGACGGGCATATATTCGTCCACTTTTGAAAGAGCGAATTTTATAAGGTTTAGCGTTCGGCTCAAACCTCAAAACAAGAAGGTGAAAACCGTCACCCACCTCGACTCCCGACCGGCCCCGAGCTTGGGCCCCCGTGTAGTGAAGTCTCCGTGTGCGACGCCATGGTATGGGAGACGTTCGTCGACGAGGGCAGTCACGACTTAACAGGTTGTGGCACTTCGACCGGAGAGCTTGAGCTTAGTGCCGGTGTTTGTGAGAATGACTGCAATTGCCTGGCTAACTTGCACAGGGTTTCCCCTCCCCTTCCCGGGTTTAGGCCTTCTCTGTGCGGGTGTGTCGTTAGGCAAAGGCCTTTTGTGGAAGGAAGCTGCTGCAAGGAAGCCGATGACGAGCAGTCGGTTTCCCTTTCCCCCCTAAGGTTTAGGCCTCTTTTCGACCCTAGTGCCGTACCGTATGCGCGGTGGCTATCGTTAGACTTGTGCAGCTGCCTTTGTTTCTTGTGCCCGGCCAAAACCCGCAATCATGATGCACATGTTGGCCAACGCATAGGTGAGGCATCGCATCCTGGGCCGGCGCCTGAGATCGGTTCTGACTCTGAAGTGAAGCACGATCTCATCTCCTTGCTAGCAAGCACCTGGGGTGACTGTTCCAACTACACTGCTTCGTCTTTCGGGGTGCAGGACCCAGTCAGATTTTGGGATCCCGCTGGGTTTTTCGCCGATGACAGCGTTGAGAGTTTCAAGCGCCGCCGCCAGACCGTAGTGAAGCACGGACGCATCTCCATGCTTGCAAGCGCCTGGAATGACTGTCCCAACTACACTGCATCGTTTTTGCATGTTTTTGAGATCGAGTTCGGTGTGCAGGTTCCAGTCAGATTTTGCGATCCCGCAGGATTTACTGACGATGGCAGTGTTGAGAGCTTCAAGCGCCGCTGTCAGACCGAAGTGAAACACGCACGCATGCCCATGCTTGTAAGTGCCTGGGGTGATTGTCCCAACTATGGTGCATCGTCTTTGCATGCTGGTAGATTTTGCGATCCTGCAGGTTTCATCGCCGATGGAACCGTTGATAGCTTCAAGCGCCGCCCTCAGACCGAAGTGAAGCACGGACGCATCGCCATGCTTGCAAGCGCTCGGGGTGATTGTTCCATTTTCACTGCATCGTCTTTGTGTGCCTTTGAGATTGAGCTCGGTGTGCAGGACCCAGTCAGATCTTGCGATCCCGCAGGTTGCAATGATGGCAGCAATGAGAGTTTCAAGCGCCGCCGTCAGACCGAAGTGAAGCACGGATGCATCTCCTTGCTTGCAGGTTTCAGTGCCGATGGCAGCGTTGAGAGTTTCAAGCGCCGCCGCCAGACCGTAGTAGAGCACGGACCCACCTCCAAGAGCACAAGCGCCTGGGGTGACTGTTGCAACTACACTGCATCGCCTTTGCATGCTTGCGAGATCGCTTTAGGTGTGCAGGACCCAGTCAGATTTTGCGATCCCGCAGATGTCAGTGCCGATGGCAGCGTTGAGAGCTTCAAGCGCCGCCGCCAGACAAGCGCCTGGGGTGACTGTTGCAACTACACTGCATCACCTTTGCACGCTTGCGAGATCGCTTTCGGTGTGCAGGACCCAGTCAGATTTTGCGATCCCGCAGATGTCAGTGCCGATGGCAGCGTTGAGAGCTTCAAGCGCCGCCGCCAGATAAGCGCCTGGGGTGACTGTTGCAACTACACTGCATCACCTTTGCATGCTTGCGAGATCGCTTTAGGTGTGCAGGACCTAGTCAGATTTTGCGATCCCGCAGATGTCAGTGCCGATGGCAGCGTTGAGAGCTTCAAGCGCCGCCGCCAAACAAGCGCCTGGGGTGACTGTTGCAACTACACTGCATCGCCTTTGCATGCTTGCGAGATCGCTTTAGGTGTGCAGGACCCAGTCAGATTTTGCGATCCCGCAGATGTCAGTGCCGATGGCAGCGTTGAGAGCTTCAAGCGCCGCCGCCAGACAAGCGCCTGGGGTGACTTTTGCAACTACACTGCATCGCCTTTGCATGCTTGCGAGATCGCTTTAGGTGTGCAGGACCCAGTCAGATTTTGCGATCCCGCAGATGTCAGTGCCGATGGCAGCGTTGAGAGCTTCAAGCGCCGCCGCCAGACAAGCGCCTGGGGTGACTTTTGCAACTACACTGCATCACCTTTGCATGCTTGCGAGATCGCTTTAGGTGTGCAGGACCCAGTCAGATTTTGCGATCCCGCAGATGTCAGTGCCGATGGCAGCGTTGAGAGCTTCAAGCGCCGCCGCCAGATAAGCGCCTGGGGTGACTGTTGCAACTACACTGCATCACCTTTGCATGCTTGCGAGATCGCTTTAGGTGTGCAGGACCCAGTCAGATTTTGCGATCCCGCAGGTTTCGTCGCCGATGGCAGTTGTGTGAGCTTCAAGCGCCGCTGTCAGACCGAAGTGAAGCACGGGTGCACCCCCATGCTTGCAGGTTTCAGTGCCGATGGCAGCATTGTGAGCTTCAAGCCCCGTCGCCAGACCGAAGCCAAGCACGGACACATCTCCATACTTGCAAGCGCCCGGGGAAACGGTTACAGCTGCACTGCATCCACTTTGCGTGCCTTCGAGCTTGAGCTCGGTATGCAGGACCCAGTCACATTTTGGGATCCCGCAGATGTCAGTGCCGATGCCAGCGTTGAGAGTTTAAAGCGCCGCCGTCATACCGAAATGAAGCACGGACGCATCTCTGAGTTCGGTGTGCAGAACCCAGTCCGACTTTGGGATCCCGCAGGTCTCATCGCCGATGGCAGTGTTGAAAGCTTCAAGTGCCGCCGCCAGACCGTAGTGAAGCACGGACGTATCTCCATGCTTGCAAACGCCTGGGGTGACGGTTTCAGTTACACTGCATCGCCTTTGTGTGCTTTTGAGATCGATTTCGGTGTGCAGGACCCAGTCACATTTTGCGATCCCGCAGGTCTTATTGCCGAGGGCAGCGTTGTGAGCTTCAAGCGCCGCCGCCAGACCGAAATCAAGCACGGACGCATGTCCCTGTTTGCAATCGCTCGGGGTGACTGTTCCAACTACACTGCATCGCCTTTGCGTGCCATCGAAATCGAGTTCGGTTTGCAGGACCCAGTCAGACTTTGCGATCCCGCAGGTGTCATCCTTGATGGCAGCGTTGAGAGCTTCAATCGCTGCCGCCAGACCGACGTGAAGCACGGATGCATCTCCATGTGTGCAGGTTTCACTGCCAATAGCAGCGTTGAAAGTTTCAAGTGTCGCCGCCACACCGCCATGCTTGCAAGCGCCCGGGGTGACTGGTGCAACTGCACTGCGTTGCTTTTGCGTGCCTACGAGATTGAGCTCGGTGTGCAGGACCCAGTCACCTTTTGGGATCCCGCAGCCAATCCAGGTGCGCATATCGAGCAAAAGTAGTCCTTTTCTTATTGTTAATGCACCACTTCCTCGCCTCGTTAAACGAAGTTGGGGAGAAGTTCTTCGCAACGGACGTTCTCGTTTCCTTCATGCTTTACATGGTAATATGCCGTGTTCGCCCACCTGCTGGCTTGGATCATTCAATGCGGATGGACTTTCGAGTCCCGGCAGATGGGCCTCAGTCAGGAATTTTGGTTACGACATTCTGTGCCTCCAAGAAACACACTTGGATGCTACAAAACAACAAGTTCTCACCAGTTCAGCGAATTCAACATCTCATTGCATTTGGGGAGCTTCTGTAACGGGCAGTTCCAAATGCGGCGTGGGTATGGTCATCAACCCTACTCGATTTGCCATGGTATCACCGATCAGTTGGGACTCTAATCATTCATGTCATGCTTTTTGGGCATCGGGACGGCTTCAGGCGGTTGTTCTTTACTTACATGATGGTAGTGCTGTGATCTTGTACAACATGTACGGGCCAGCAGGAGCACGTGAAACTGCTTCCGCCAAAAGGACGTTGCGACTTCTACTCCAAGCAGTCACTGAGGACGCCGCGACTCGTTCGTTGCCTTCTATCTTGGTGGGGGATTTCAACGCTGAGGTGGAGGAAAATCAGTACATGCAAACCCTGCTGCAAACATACTGGTATGATGTTGCTGTGGTCGGTAGCGGTGAGACTCGTAACACTTGCAACAAAGGTTCTGGCTCGCGCATTGATCACATCTGGTGCTCGCAAGGTTGTTCCTCCATGATGCTTCATTTTGATCTTCATCCCACTCCTTTCACTCGCAAAGGCCATTGTGTTCTGGAAGTCGCAATGGACATTCCTTATCGCGCAAAGCCGAGACTTACACCTCGAAGATCGTGCTCTTTTGACCACTTGAAGGCTCCAGACGCTTATTGTCATCTGCGCATGCCTCAATCATTCGAGGAAGCTTTACGACATCGTGATGTCGATTCTGCGGCTGCAATCTGGTCAAAACAAGCTGAGCAGGTCTTGCTTTTTCTTCATGAACAACAAGATGGTTCCGAATTAAGATTGGGTCAACCACGGGGCAAAGTACAACTCGACTGCACAAGACAAACCCCCAAAGCTCATCACGAACATGCTGACAATCTACAACTACGAAAACTTTCACAAGCATATCGCAGAGCGTTAGAAATTACCATGGCGACACCGGGCACAAGAACTTCACGCACTTGGAAAAATCTTCAATCAGTCATCGAGGTATGCCCTGAAGCTTGGAAGGGCGAACTTGAACCCCTTCTCCGAGGCGCTCCAAATGCGGAGATTGCTGAGGCCGTGGCCAAGCTCATTCAACGCGTTATTCAACATGTGGAATATCAACAAAAATGGCATCGCTTGAAGCTTTGGAAGCAGCAGATGCGGAACAATGTCAGTGCGTCCTCTTCTTGGCGAAAGAAACAGCAAGCACTCAAGGACAATCCGTATTTACGCGATCACAAACATTATTCTTCTGTTGTTATGAAGGTCGGCAATGCTTTCACCATCGACCCATCTCGACAACTTCGTTCACTAGTACAAGAATGGGACAAAGTGTTCGGTAAACACCGTAAAAACCCTCCTACGACTTGGGCTTTTGTTCAACATTATGGCCCTTTCCTCAAGCGGGAGCCTCATGACCTTGACGAGCTGCAGCAACAGGACATTCTGGAAACGGTGTTATCTTTGAAGCCCAGTGCGGCGGGTTTGGATGGTTGGCGGCCTCAGGATTTAAGACTGCTGGGAAACACATGCCCACAGCTCTTTCAGTACCTGGCACGGCTTATGAACATGTGTGAAAAACTGGCTACTTGGCCTCGCAGCTGGACTGTGGGATATGTGGCAATGTTGCCCAAAAACTTGAACTCGCAAGGACAAGTAGAAAGTGCATATGACATGAGACCAATTACTGTACTAAGCGCATTATACCGCTTATGGAGTCGCACTCGCTGTCCACACATCATGCCGTGGATTCTCCGTATACTACCTCCCGAAGTCTACGCACTACGTCCAGGGCAAGGTGCCGATGATTTAGCAGTTGATGTGAGTTATTTGTTGGAGGTTGCCGAAAAAGATGATCACTGGAGCGCTGGACTGTCATACGACTTTTCCAAATGCTACGATCACATCCTTCCCAACCTTGCCATCGACACTTTAACTTACAGAGGAGCTCCTCTGTCGGTCATACAGGGCTTGCGGGGCTTTTACAAGTCCCACAAAAAGCACTTCAAACTTGGTCAGGCGTTCAGTGAAGCATATACTCCATCCAATGGCATCATACAAGGAGATCCTTTGAGCAACATCCTTTTAGCCAGTCTGATTGCATGCTGGTTGGAACGGTTACAACACGGTCACTTTGGTCAAGCTCGCGCGAAAATTGTGCCCAAGGCCTATGTGGACGATATTTCTGCAACTGTTATTGCCGAGGACCTACGACACTTACGTGCAGGATTGCGCTCCACGCACGAAAACGTGCAAACTTTTTCGACACTCTCTGGTAGTAAGCTCAATCCCGGCAAATGTTTCACGTATGGGGATCCTCATGTTGCCAATCTTCTGCCTGACATACCAAATCACAAAGAAGCATTTCGACTCGTCGGAGGAAGCATTGTTTGTGGCACCGCATCGTCATGGACATCACTTATGCAACAACGCGTGGACGGCTGGTTGGCATCAGTTCGGGCTTGCAGTCTTCTTCCGCTTGGATGGCGAGCCAGGCTTCTCGCACAACAACAATTGATGAATCGGTTAACATGGGGTCAAGGTACTCATGATCTTTATATTCCGCAATCGCGCATTACGACCATGCGAGCCTCGATGACGCGAGCACTTCTTCGCATCAGCTACTACAGCCTCACGCCCATGGTTCTGTACACTGTAGTCGTTATGCCCACTTTGGAACCGCTTTTTGCCATGAACTTTGCCGCTCTACGATCACTTCAGCGATTCTGCTCCAAAGCTCCCCAACGCCAATATATCAACAACAATCTTCATTCTGTCCCCGGACAACAGAAAGGCCCTCTACGTCGTGCCCAGCAACTGTTTTCGGACCCCGTTTACAGACCTGCAGTCCAACAAATTTTACAATTATCCGACAAGGATCGTTCCTGGGAACATAATCTCCGTGAACGTTGGCGTGAACACCATCTGCGACAAATTCCTCACTCACGTCAAGATTTCCAGGGCATTGAGCGGGCGGACAGGACAAAAGCTACAGCTCTTCTTCATGATCTACATCTGCAATCCGATGGCTTGCAGCTCCTTCTTGATCGCGGCATTCCGGGCCCTCACTTTGAAAAAGATCCTAGACCGCGAAGCAAAATCCTCATTTACATCTTGACGGGTGGCCTCATGTGTCCTTCACGCGATGGTCGTCATAGACAGCAACAGTCTGTGCTCTGTCCAGTATGTAAAGTGCCCAACGAAGTTTTACATATTCACTGGAATTGCAAGCGTTACAGCGCTGAAAGGGCTCCAATCCAACATCTGAGGCAGCGCATTTTGCGCAGCCCTCAGTGCTTTCGTTATGCCGCCATTCCCACAACCCGTATGTCTTTCACGCTCAAAGAGATCAAACAGATCCAAGACGTGCTCATTGATATATGGCAAAAACACATCAGGGAGTGGCACGATACGGACATTAACGGTCCAGATCCTCCTGATGATCAAGCTCCTCCACCCCCAACAGACAATACTCAAGGTAATGGATTGCCTTCTGGGAGTCAAACAAGTCCGCCACCTTCGCAGCCATCATCCAGCAACGCGCCAGTGAACCCGCATTCATCCGACCGAGAACAGCGCGGTCATCGGATACGGTATCATGGAGGGGGCGCTTTTTGCGTCAAATGTGGCAAATGCACATCGCGCTTGGAACATCTCAATCTGCGTATTCTCAAAAACAAATGTCCATTTCCGAATCTTCCACCCAGCGCTTGGATGGACACTCCTGGTAAGATCAATGCCAAAGCTCGTTTGGACAAGTTGGAGCGAGATATGAACACCAAGTACAACATCCCAAAACACAGTTTGGTTTGGAACCGAAAGCTTGGAAAGGAGCCAAAAGACGAAGACTCATACGGTAAGCTTTGGTGCCGTTTGTGTGGTCGCACGTTTGCGTGGCGCTACAGACACAACAACCTTCCCAAGACTGTATGTCGACCTCTCGACAACAAGCCTAGCCCACCCGAATGGGTCACAGCTATGACTGCTGCCGAAGTAAGCCAAGACATGACTATGCATGGCCTTTCATTTTCTACCGAGTTTGCACGTGCACGCCAGGGTATTGGATAAGAGACGTCATCCATGAGCAGATGTACGGAAGTTCATCTGTTCAGGCACGTCCCTACTACTTTTGGGATCCCGCAGGTTTCAGTGCCGATGGCAGCGTTGAGGTTTTCAAGCGCCGCCGTCAGACCGAAATGCAGCACGGACGCATCTCCATGCCTGCAGGCGTTTGGGATGACTTCTCCAACTACACTGCATCGCCTTTGCATGCTTGCCAGATCGCTTTCGGTGTGCAGGACCCAGTCAGTTTTTGCGATCTCGCAGGTTGCGCTGCCGATGGCAGTGTTGAGAGCTTCAAGCGCCGCCGCCAGACCGAAGTGAAGCATGGACGCATCTCCATGCTCACAAGCGCTTGGGGTGACTGTCGCAACTACACTGCTTCGCCTTTGCGTGCCTCCGAGATCGAGTTCGGTCTGCACGACCCAGTCAGACTTTGCGATCCCGCAGGTGTCATCGTTGATGGCAGCCTTGAGAGCTTCAAACTCCGTCGCCAGAACGACGTGAAGCACGGACGCATCTTCATGCTTGCAGCAAGGTTCACGAGCCCTGCCAAAACCCGCAATCATGATGCACACGTTGGCCAGCGCATAGGCGAAGCGTCGCAGCCTGGGCCGGCGCCTCAGATCGGTCTGGACTTTGGCCCCAACTTTGCAGCGCAGCTCCAGGCCTTCATACAGGAAGCCGTGCAGCAGGCGTTACGTGAAGCTTTGAAAGGACTTCAGCTTGGCGGGTTGTTAGGTTTGGGTTCGCTGCACGGTGCCCCTGCTGCTGTTGGACCCGCTGCTCCTAACGCTTCGAGCGCCGCCACTCAAGCAGTGATCCCACCGTCAGTACCAACTCCTCCACGCAAGAAGGGCAAAGGTGCCGGCGCCGTGGTTGCGCCATCTGCCCCGCCAGTGCTGCCGCAGTCGGCCTCGACATCCGCTCCCAAAGGCAAAGCTAAAGGAAAGTCCATCAATGCCGATCAGGGGTGGACGAAGGTGCAACGGAAGAAGGTTCCGCCCGATGCCGAGGATTTCAAGCTTCGGCAGCAAGATTGGACCGATCCGCTCATTTCATTTTCGAGCTTGGCAAAGAAGCTTGACGACACAAAACAGGATCAGGTGTGCAGAGGCGTTGTGCTCTGTACCCATCATGAAGCAAAAATTGCGTCTTCGCTGTTTGCGGGCACCGCCAAAAAGCATGCTTTCCTTGTCATTGTGTTGGCCAAACATGCTGCCAACGTTGATGCCAAAGCCACTGGAGCTGCGCGCGAGCAAGTACCGGGGCAGGCAGGTCTGATGTTGCGTTCGGCCGAAGCTCTCGTCTACAAGGTGCATTCGCCAGGCCAAGCCCCGCCGCAACCCGTTGGGACGTCGGCGGCGCCTCTAAAAATCGCGCCAAAGGCCACCACGGTTGTGTTTTGCAAAGTGCTTCAGGCCTTCACTTCCGCTGCCATGTGGAAGGGTTTCATTGAAAAGCCGCAGAAGCAGATTGCATTATACACTGCCCAGCATCATGTGTTGTGCAACGACTGTTTTGGTTGGGCTGAGGAAGTTACCAAATCTGGGTGCAAGCAGGTCTTCGGCATCCTTCGGGTCGCTCAGGCCGACTTGTCGGTTTTGATTGCGCTCTCAGGGGAACAAGGGATTTTCTTTCAGCTCCCTAAGGATAGTGCGAAGAATCAACATGTTGAGTGGGCGCCACGGCTCACCAAAAACGAGCCTGACATGGACTATCTGACCCGTGTCAACCGCACCAGAGGCGACCTCGGACTCGCGTGCCGAGAGAAATCGTTGGGGTGGCGTCGACCCGCAAATGCCAGCTCCATCGTTAAAAAAGTCTGGGTCCTTGAGCACGCCCCGCGGGAGTGGGACATGCAGCAGGTCTCCCAATTGCTTGCCGAGCATTTCAACGAGGTGTGCATGTTCAGGCAGCTGCAGCGGAAAGGTTGGAAAAACTTTGTCTTTCGTGGCGCCTGCAAGAGGGGAGCAGATGCTGACTTGGTGCCCATCACCGTGCAAATTCAGGAAGGAGACAAAGCCCAGCCTTTCACCCTGTGGGCGAAGGTCGCTCCCCCGAGGCAGGTCGAATACAAGCAGAGGCAGATCAAGGCAGGTGCTGTCCCTTTCTTTGACAGCAAAAGCATCCTTGACCCGGTTGCCGCTTCCACTGCCATCCCTGACTCTCAGGATCCTGCAAAAGACTCGATGCAGACAGATGGCAAAGAGCCTCCGCCGAACGCCAAACGACAGCGGACAACGATTCGCCAGACACCGCAGGGCCTGACTCTGCTTTCTCAACCGCGGGATGGCGATTGCCTCTTTCATTCGTTCCAAGCAGGGCTTCAGTGGCTCAACCGCAAAAAGAAAGGGTATGATGCCCCGCACCCGCACGAATTGCGCGCGCGCATGATTGATCATTTGCAGCGCCATTCTGATCGCTACCAGGCGCCCTGGGAGGCCGCTGGAAAGATTGGGCCCAGCGGCTCCGAGCTCGAGGATTGGAAGGCCTTTCTTGAAGCAGCGGGCAAGCCCGGCGCCTATGCTGGGGAAACTGAGCTGAAAGCATTATGCCGAATCTATGATGTGCGGGTGATTCTTGTACCCGAAGACTCGCATTTTGCTGTATGCACCTATCATAGAGGTTGTTCTAAGCGCCGCACGATTGCTATCTTCTATAGTGAAAAGCACTTCGACTTTTTGCAACCTGAGGAATCGAAAAATTACCCCGATGATGTCTTGAATGTTGACGTTGATCCCACCGGAGGCTTCCTAGTTGGTGGGGTGTCGGAGGCTGGGACGGTTTTCACTCGCTCTAAGACGTCGGGAGCGGGGCGGACAAGTGACCGCAAAGCAGTCTCGTCTCGTGCATCGTCCGTGGGCTCCGGCCGCACTGTTTTCACTTGTGATCGGGCGTCCAAGGTCAGCACCGTTTGGACGCGAGACCCCAGTGCCAAGCCTAATCCTGTGAAGGTGCCTCAGGCGGTTGCTGGTGTTGCGAGCGCACGGGCCTCCACCAAAGCCCGCGCTTCTGGAAGCATGGCCACTGTGTTTACTCGTGCTGCCCCTTGCCCTGGTGAACACACGAAGCCGCCTGCCTCCTCTTCTCAAGTGGCCATGAAGCAGCCGTTTCCTCCCGCGCATGCGTTTGTCGGTCGAGGGCTCGATGTTATCTCCAGCCGTGGGTTAGGCGACTGCAACGAGGACCACGATGACGACCTCAGTCAAGACCTCTCGGGTTGCGAGCCCGATGTCCCTGTGAAACGAAAGCAAATCGCTTCTTGCTCGCATCGTGCCCCCATCTGCAGGCCTGCTGATGGTGTTTTTCACTGCAGATTGTGTCCTTTCAAGCGTGCTACTGCTAGCTTGGCACAGTTTCGACAGGTCAACAATAACCACTACAACAGGCATCACGGGGGCGCCACGCTTCCGGGACCCCTCCGACGTCCTCAGGTAGGCAAGGTTCAGGGAGGTGCCAAAAACCGTTTTTGGAAGTGTCCCAAGTGCTCGCTCGGAGTCTCCAAAGAGGTTAGAGCAACCATCACCAGACACGTGTTTTCCCTGATGCGTGAAGATCACAGACAACAGCATCACCCAGAGGTGCCCAAGAAAGAGTGGACCGCCTTGATCTCCTTAAAACAAACCGGTCCTAAGGATGCCAAGGGCTTTGCCGCAGACTGCCGCCGACGCGCTTTGCAGAAGGTTGCCCTAAATGAGGTTTCCCAACCTAGATTCCCCGGCATGCAGACTTTCGTGTGGCCCGTGCCGCGGCACTTCCCGCTCAAGAAACCTGCCAAGGGCGCCAGCTCCAAACATGCTGCCCGCAAAATCAAGCGCATATCCCTAACGCATGCTTGGCTGTGCCAAAAGTGTGGTGCCGCCACGAAAGACCGCCCTGTTGCGCGCAGTCACTCCAAGGGACTGTGTCCACCAGCGAAAAGGGCTGCCCAAGTCACGCGCCTTCGCCTCAAACAGTTTGCTGAGATGCGGCAGTGGGTCCTTGATCATGTTGAGGCTGCTGAGCAACGGATGTACTTGAGTGCCATTGATGGGGCTATCCAAGCTGTTCAGAAGCGAGCTCTCCCCAATGCACTTTCGCTCGCCTCCTGACCGTTAACACAAATAAATCTGGTGTCTCCAAAAATCCCGCCATCTGTAGCTTGTGCCGGGATGAACACATTGATTTTGTTTCCATTCAGGAGGTTGACGTTAACCCCTTGTCTGCTCTAGGATACATTTCGGAGTGGAAAGCGCTGGGTTATCATGCCATGCTTAGCCCGCACGAGGAGGACAAAGGCTTGCACAGGGTCGCTCTGATATCTGCGGCCCCGGCGAGGGCGATCGCTCTTCCGCTTCAGAAAGCTCGCACCAGGACTGTGGCAGCCCTCGTGGACACCGTTGAGGACTCCTGTGATGGCACTGTGACCCAACTGCTCCTGCTGGCTTTTTACGGCTATCCGGGTGACGTCACGGCCACTGCGGAGGCTTTCGATGAAGTGCTGTCGGCAGCCCTCGCCTTTGGGGGCCGCTTTGCCATCTGGGGCGACTTCAATGCTGTGCAACAGGAAGGCCCCTTCCCCCGTGCCTTTGCTAGAGGGCAGGTTCAACCCATGGACACCACGATTGAGGCTGAGCAGGTTTGCACCAATCCCAGACGCACCAGAAGAATTGATTTTGGAGTCTGCCACAGACGCATTGTGGTGAATTCTGTGAGTCACTTCGATTTGCCGCACATTTCTGATCATGTTTCAGTCATGTATCAAACTGCCTTGGACACGAGTTGTGACAGTCATCAAGCCCCGAGGCCGATGTCCCTACAGCCGCCTGATGCGGCCACCGTGCACGACCGTTTCTTGCAACTTTGGGATCCGACGGCCTTTGAGGCTCTTGTTCAGGAAGCGTCCTTGGATGATGCATGGGTCATGCTTTCCGATGTTGCGGAGAAAGCCCTGAAAGGCACTGATCTTGATGGCGACCCCGGGATTTCTCGCAGTGCTAGCTGGGATCCGCGCCCCCGTCGGGCAACGGCCTCAAGGGCTGGAGCACATGGGCACGAGTCCGCGGCCCTTCGAACGGTGAGAAAATTCTCGGCGCGAATCCACCAACTGTGTGCGCAGCAGCACTCTGAGCCACTTAGGCGTGCGGTGCAGCGCTCCTTGTGCCAGCTTCGCCAATATTTTGAAAATGTCCCTTATGTTGACTTGCATTCCCCGTGGCAGGCGGCTGAGTGGGCCAAGCAGGCGTGCCAGGACTTGGAAACCCAGGAAAAGGAGGCCAAACTTCAGCGCTGGAAGCTGGATGTTAAAGATGATGAGCGTAAGGCTCGGTCCTGGATCAAGCGAAAAGCTCGGCAGGCGATTGATGCAGAGAAGCCGGCGGCTCCTGTTGACAACTTGCCGCATGCAGTGCACCCTGCCCGCGTGGTGCAACAGCAAAGCCGCGCATGGATGCACAAATGGACCTCTCGCCCCAGAACTCAGGAGCAAGAGAGGCTACTGACGCACGTGCTGGACAGTGTGTCGCCAGGCCACCACCACGACATGACCATCCAACTTGAAGCCGATGATCTCCTGCGGTCCGCCAGGTCCATGAAAGGGAAAATGGAAGGTCCGGATTTTTGGACCGCTGACCTTCTTTTGCAGATGCCGTTATTGTGGTGGCAGCATTTTGCCAAACTTTGGACGGCGGTCGTGAGCACGTCGGTCGTTCCCCAGGCCTGGCGCAAATCCTGGGTGCTTCTACTTGATAAAAAGATCAATGAGACGCGGCCGATAAGCATCAGCCCCGTTGCATGGAGGATTGGAGCGAAGGCTCTGAATCGCAAACTCCTGCCTTGGCTCAACTCCTTCCTTGATCACCGTGCCCTGGGGTCTGCCCCGCACAGGTCGGCCAGTGATGTGCACGCCAGGCTCTACCTGGCCATGCAGCAAAACTGCAGTACCTTTGTGCAACAAGATCTTAGTTCCTTCTTCGATTCACTCGACCATAATGCTATGGCTCGCGCCCTGACGAGGCTCGGAGCCCCTAACTGCTTTGTGAACCTTTTTAAAGCCTTCTACACCGACTCCCGTCGTCTGTTTCGAGTGGCCTCATACTTCACGCCTAGCTGGCAAACAGCCACCCAGGGATGCCTACAAGGCTGCCCGCTCAGCCCCACGGTGGCCCTGTGCTATGCATGGTTTCATTTGGAGCCAGTACTGCGCTACCAGCTCTGTTGAATGTGCAATATATGTGGATGATAGAATTCTGTGGCTCAGGCAACCTGCTACGGAGTCCGCTGGACGAGCGCTCGCCGAAGCTCTCGACAAAAGTGACCTTGTGGATAAAGCTTTTGGGCTGAGCTGCCGTCCCGAAAAATGCGCGTTGGTCGCCCCTGCAGGCGACCAAACGCTCCAGGCACTCTGGCATCGCAAGTACCCCAGGCAGACTGCACTGCATACGCTGGGAATTGTGATTGATGTTGATACACGCGAGTCCACCCTGCTCAAGCTCTCCTTGAAAATGGTGCTCTTGAGACTGCGATACATTCGCATGCTCAACTCGCCGATCGACATGCAGCGGAGGCTGATCCGCAGCTTGATCCTACCTACTTTCACCTGGGCTGCTGGGGCTGCTAGGCCTTCGGAGGAGGAACTCAGTGAAATCAAGGATGGCATTCTTCGGGCCCTCCGGACCTCGGTCACGCGGGAGGCGCCCTGGGCCCTGTTGTGCGCGGTTCATGGCTGGGAGTGGGACCCGGACTTTGCTCTGGACTGGGCCGCCTTAAGCCACGCCTCACGATACTGGTGCAATCCGCCCCCTTGGCTGGATCACATTCCCGTGAGTGAAGCTGTGCTGCCGTGGACCACCTTTCTGCCTAGGACCCGCGATGTCCTGCAGAGGTGCGGGTGGCGAGTCGCTGAAGATGGCGGGGCCATACAACGACGTGATGACGACCAAAATGTGCGCACTTTCCGTTTTGGCTACGATAATCTTTCGGTTCTCAAAATGTGGCTCGTCGAGCAATATAAGTTGGTTGGGATTCATCGGTGCCCTAGGATTAAGACCTCTTACCACCGTAGCGATCCCTCTTTTGCCCGTGGACTAAACCTTCCGGCCCCCCCGCCTGGAACCCGCCATGCATTAGCGGGCCACCGTGCCTTAGGTAGGGGCGGCCCCTTGGATGTGCAACGAGCGGCCGTGGCTTCGGGTAACTCCACTTGGCATGTTGCTAAGCGAATACAGGGCTTCACTCAGCCACAAGTTTGCCCGTGTGGACTCCGCGCGCCCAGCAGGGCGCACCTTACTTGGAATTGCGATGCCTTGACGCCTGTTTCCGTTCTGGGACAGCTGCCACGCACCAGAGCAGGCGAGAGACTGTTCGCTGCTGAGGTCCCGGAGTTTCCGCCGGCCGTTGGTGGGGACCCCTGGAGAGGTGCGGCGTCCGCCCTTGCACGACGACTGGACGACGTCACCCTTTCGGCCCCAGAGGATGGGTGTGGCGATGTCCTCCTCGCAACTGATGGCTCTAGCAAGCATCAGGTGGGCTCGGCGGCGGTGGTGCATGGTGATGCTGACTTCGTAGCCACCGACAGCAATGAGGACCAGATGCCTTTCACTTGTGAACTCAAAGCCCTGCGACTTGTATCGGCTGCTTTCCTTCAGGTGACTGTCATCGCTGGGCGCCGCTTCTGTGTGTTGTCAGACTGCCAAGGGGCCCTTGATGCTCTTGAGAACCCTCTTCAGTGTGCGCTGCCTCTGCTCGCTGCAGAAGTCTCGCGAAATCTGCAGTCTGCCAGGGCCCTGGGTCACCAAATTGACCTTGCTTGGATACCCTCGCATGGCAAACAACAAAGTTGGAAGCCTCCGGCGAGCTGGAGTTTCTCGGTTGCAGAGTGCCGCGCCTTGAATGATCAAGCGGACAGGGCGGCTGAAACCGCTCGTGAAGCTCATGCTGCCAGGTGTCGGAGGGTCCAGTGGTGGTCCCGGTGGCAGGCTGCAAAAGAATGGGAAATGGCTGCCATCACACACTCGGCTACTGCAGCTGGTGCTTTGGATGCCCATTACCGCCGGGCCATGGAGCCGGCCGCCGCAGACCAAGATGGTGTAGGCTAGTCCTCTGGTTGCCCGGGCTCTTTGGGTTGTGGTTTGCCTTAGTCCCCGAAACCCGTAATGCCAAAGCCGTGACTCTTGCGTGGACTCAACCTGTTTTTCACGACTGCCAGTGATACGTGCCTTGTGGAGTTTGCGCCTGTCTTCGGCCTCAATGGCGAGGTCTCAAGCTTGTGCTTCCCTCTTGTGCTACTGACGCTTGCGTGGCTGCACCGAAGCCTGCCTTCGTGTGCGCCTGCTTTCACGACTGCCAGTGATACGTGCCTTGCAGAGTTGCGCCCTTCTTCGGCCTCAGCGGCGAGGTCTTAAGATTGTGCCCCTCTCTTGTGCTACTACTGCCTTTTGCGCGGCTGCACCGATACCTGATGTCGTGTGCGCCGGACCTGCTTTTTGCAACAGTGTTCTGTACCCTGCTGGGTCGTGCCTGTCTTGGCGCCCTTCTTTGCCTCGGCGCTGAGGCCACGAACGGATGCCCCTCATCGGCGACCCACAGGTGTCGTTGCTTTCTTGCAACTTGACAGCTTTTGTGCGAAACTGACACTCTCTTGAGTGCCGCTGCAGCTGCTGGGCATGTGCTCTTGTGCTCAGGCCTGCAACAGCCGAACACCAAAGTGCCACTGCGGTCGCTGGACCTTCACTCTTGTGTTGAGCCCGCGACAGACCTGAGCTCCTGCCTAGGGTAGGGTAGGGTAGGGTAGGCCGCAGACACGCGATCAGGCGCCTTGCCTGTCGCGTTGAGTAGTTCGCAGACTCGTGATGGCCGTGTCACGACTAGGAGCCCTGTTTCACTGGTTCACAAGAGGAGAGTCGTTGAGTGGGACTTCGGCAAGCTCACGCTCTTCCAGGTGTGCATATGTTTCTGAAGCCTTGTGGCCTTTCGCTTGCTGTACAGCTTTCGCGATCGCTCTTGGCTTCTGGTGATTCTCACCCGAGGCGACCTGCTGGTGTTGAGGACTTGCTGGGGCGAGCCTCTGCACCCAAAACTACCAAGGTGAAAACAGGCCCGCACGAGGAGGACAAAGGCTTGCACAGGGTCGCTCTGATATCTGCGGCCCCGGCGAGGGCGATCGCTCTTCCGCTTCAGAAAGCTCGCACCAGGACTGTGGCAGCCCTCGTGGACACCGTTGAGGACTCCTGTGATGGCACTGTGACCCAACTGCTCCTGCTGGCTTTTTACGGCTATCCGGGTGACGTCACGGCCACTGCGGAGGCTTTCGATGAAGTGCTGTCGGCAGCCCTCGCCTTTGGGGGCCGCTTTGCCATCTGGGGCGACTTCAATGCTGTGCAACAGGAAGGCCCCTTCCCCCGTGCCTTTGCTAGAGGGCAGGTTCAACCCATGGACACCACGATTGAGGCTGAGCAGGTTTGCACCAATCCCAGACGCACCAGAAGAATTGATTATGGAGTCTGCCACAGACGCATTGTGGTGAATTCTGTGAGTCACTTCGATTTGCCGCACATTTCTGATCATGTTTCAGTCATGTATCAAACTGCCTTGGACACGAGTTGTGACAGTCATCAAGCCCCGAGGCCGATGTCCCTACAGCCGCCTGATGCGGCCACCGTGCACGACCGTTTCTTGCAACTTTGGGATCCGACGGCCTTTGAGGCTCTTGTTCAGGAAGCGTCCTTGGATGATGCATGGGTCATGCTTTCCGATGTTGCGGAGAAAGCCCTGAAAGGCACTGATCTTGATGGCGACCCCGGGATTTCTCGCAGTGCTAGCTGGGATCCGCGCCCCCGTCGGGCAACGGCCTCAAGGGCTGGAGCACATGGGCACGAGTCCGCGGCCCTTCGAACGGTGAGAAAATTCTCGGCGCGAATCCACCAACTGTGTGCGCAGCAGCACTCTGAGCCACTTAGGCGTGCGGTGCAGCGCTCCTTGTGCCAGCTTCGCCAATATTTTGAAAATGTCCCTTATGTTGACTTGCATTCCCCGTGGCAGGCGGCTGAGTGGGCCAAGCAGGCGTGCCAGGACTTGGAAACCCAGGAAAAGGAGGCCAAACTTCAGCGCTGGAAGCTGGATGTTAAAGATGATGAGCGTAAGGCTCGGTCCTGGATCAAGCGAAAAGCTCGGCAGGCGATTGATGCAGAGAAGCCGGCGGCTCCTGTTGACAACTTGCCGCATGCAGTGCACCCTGCCCGCGTGGTGCAACAGCAAAGCCGCGCATGGATGCACAAATGGACCTCTCGCCCCAGAACTCAGGAGCAAGAGAGGCTACTGACGCACGTGCTGGACAGTGTGTCGCCAGGCCACCACCACGACATGACCATCCAACTTGAAGCCGATGATCTCCTGCGGTCCGCCAGGTCCATGAAAGGGAAAATGGAAGGTCCGGATTTTTGGACCGCTGACCTTCTTTTGCAGATGCCGTTATTGTGGTGGCAGCATTTTGCCAAACTTTGGACGGCGGTCGTGAGCACGTCGGTCGTTCCCCAGGCCTGGCGCAAATCCTGGGTGCTTCTACTTGATAAAAAGATCAATGAGACGCGGCCGATAAGCATCAGCCCCGTTGCATGGAGGATTGGAGCGAAGGCTCTGAATCGCAAACTCCTGCCTTGGCTCAACTCCTTCCTTGATCACCGTGCCCTGGGGTCTGCCCCGCACAGGTCGGCCAGTGATGTGCACGCCAGGCTCTACCTGGCCATGCAGCAAAACTGCAGTACCTTTGTGCAACAAGATCTTAGTTCCTTCTTCGATTCACTCGACCATAATGCTATGGCTCGCGCCCTGACGAGGCTCGGAGCCCCTAACTGCTTTGTGAACCTTTTTAAAGCCTTCTACACCGACTCCCGTCGTCTGTTTCGAGTGGCCTCATACTTCACGCCTAGCTGGCAAACAGCCACCCAGGGATGCCTACAAGGCTGCCCGCTCAGCCCCACGGTGGCCCTGTGCTATGGTTTCATTTGGAGCCAGTACTGCGCTACCAGCTCTGTTGAATGTGCAATATATGTGGATGATAGAATTCTGTGGCTCAGGCAACCTGCTACGGAGTCCGCTGGACGAGCGCTCGCCGAAGCTCTCGACAAAAGTGACCTTGTGGATAAAGCTTTTGGGCTGAGCTGCCGTCCCGAAAAATGCGCGTTGGTCGCCCCTGCAGGCGACCAAACGCTCCAGGCACTCTGGCATCGCAAGTACCCCAGGCAGACTGCACTGCATACGCTGGGAATTGTGATTGATGTTGATACACGCGAGTCCACCCTGCTCAAGCTCTCCTTGAAAATGGTGCTCTTGAGACTGCGATACATTCGCATGCTCAACTCGCCGATCGACATGCAGCGGAGGCTGATCCGCAGCTTGATCCTACCTACTTTCACCTGGGCTGCTGGGGCTGCTAGGCCTTCGGAGGAGGAACTCAGTGAAATCAAGGATGGCATTCTTCGGGCCCTCCGGACCTCGGTCACGCGGGAGGCGCCCTGGGCCCTGTTGTGCGCGGTTCATGGCTGGGAGTGGGACCCGGACTTTGCTCTGGACTGGGCCGCCTTAAGCCACGCCTCACGATACTGGTGCAATCCGCCCCCTTGGCTGGATCACATTCCCGTGAGTGAAGCTGTGCTGCCGTGGACCACCTTTCTGCCTAGGACCCGCGATGTCCTGCAGAGGTGCGGGTGGCGAGTCGCTGAAGATGGCGGGGCCATACAACGACGTGATGACGACCAAAATGTGCGCACTTTCCGTTTTGGCTACGATAATCTTTCAAAATGTGGCTCGTCGAGCAATATAAGTTGGTTGGGATTCATCGGTGCCCTAGGATTAAGACCTCTTACCACCGTAGCGATCCCTCTTTTGCCCGTGGACTAAACCTTCCGGCCCCCCCGCCTGGAACCCGCCATGCATTAGCGGGCCACAGTGCCTTAGGTAGGGGCGGCCCCTTGGATGTGCAACGAGCGGCCGTGGCTTCGGGTAACTCCACTTGGCATGTTGCTAAGCGAATACAGGGCTTCACTCAGCCACAAGTTTGCCCGTGTGGACTCCGCGCGCCCAGCAGGGCGCACCTTACTTGGAATTGCGATGCCTTGACGCCTGTTTCCGTTCTGGGACAGCTGCCACGCACCAGAGCAGGCGAGAGACTGTTCGCTGCTGAGGTCCCGGAGTTTCCGCCGGCCGTTGGTGGGGACCCCTGGAGAGGTGCGGCGTCCGCCCTTGCACGACGACTGGACGACGTCACCCTTTCGGCCCCAGAGGATGGGTGTGGCGATGTCCTCCTCGCAACTGATGGCTCTAGCAAGCATCAGGTGGGCTCGGCGGCGGTGGTGCATGGTGATGCTGACTTCGTAGCCACCGACAGCAATGAGGACCAGATGCCTTTCACTTGTGAACTCAAAGCCCTGCGACTTGTATCGGCTGCTTTCCTTCAGGTGACTGTCATCGCTGGGCGCCGCTTCTGTGTGTTGTCAGACTGCCAAGGGGCCCTTGATGCTCTTGAGAACCCTCTTCAGTGTGCGCTGCCTCTGCTCGCTGCAGAAGTCTCGCGAAATCTGCAGTCTGCCAGGGCCCTGGGTCACCAAATTGACCTTGCTTGGATACCCTCGCATGGCAAACAACAAAGTTGGAAGCCTCCGGCGAGCTGGAGTTTCTCGGTTGCAGAGTGCCGCGCCTTGAATGATCAAGCGGACAGGGCGGCTGAAACCGCTCGTGAAGCTCATGCTGCCAGGTGTCGGAGGGTCCAGTGGTGGTCCCGGTGGCAGGCTGCAAAAGAATGGGAAATGGCTGCCATCACACACTCGGCTACTGCAGCTGGTGCTTTGGATGCCCATTACCGCCGGGCCATGGAGCCGGCCGCCGCAGACCAAGATGGTGTAGGCTAGTCCTCTGGTTGCCCGGGCTCTTTGGGTTGTGGTTTGCCTTAGTCCCCGAAACCCGTAATGCCAAAGCCGTGACTCTTGCGTGGACTCAACCTGTTTTTCACGACTGCCAGTGATACGTGCCTTGTGGAGTTTGCGCCTGTCTTCGGCCTCAATGGCGAGGTCTCAAGCTTGTGCTTCCCTCTTGTGCTACTGACGCTTGCGTGGCTGCACCGAAGCCTGCCTTCGTGTGCGCCTGCTTTCACGACTGCCAGTGATACGTGCCTTGCAGAGTTGCGCCCTTCTTCGGCCTCAGCGGCATCGGCGACCCACAGGTGTCGTTGCTTTCTTGCAACTTGACAGCTTTTGTGCGAAACTGACACTCTCTTGAGTGCCGCTGCAGCTGCTGGGCATGTGCTCTTGTGCTCAGGCCTGCAACAGCCGAACACCAAAGTGCCACTGCGGTCGCTGGACCTTCACTCTTGTGTTGAGCCCGCGACAGACCTGAGCTCCTGCCTAGGGTAGGGTAGGGTAGGGTAGGCCGCAGACGCGCGATCAGGCGCCTTGCCTGTCCGCGTTGAGTAGTTCGCAGACTCGTGATGGCCGTGTCACGACTAGGAGCCCTGTTTCACTGGTTCACAAGAGGAGAGTCGTTGAGTGGGACTTCGGCAAGCTCACGCTCTTCCAGGTGTGCATATGTTTCTGAAGCCTTGTGGCCTTTCGCTTGCTGTACAGCTTTCGCGATCGCTCTTGGCTTCTGGTGATTCTCACCCGAGGCGACCTGCTGGTGTTGAGGACTTGCTGGGGCGAGCCTTATCATCCCAAACTTGCGAGGTGAAAACAGGCGGGCTCAAGCGGAGTAAGGTCTCCACGGGACTGAGCCCGGGCAACGGTTGGCCCCAACAACCGGCGAACATTCTCCACCGAGCGCCATGGCTCCGTCCTCCGGCGGTGCGCGGTGCGGCTTTTTGGCAGACATTACACGACGCTGGCTCCTCATGGAGCGCATTCTTCACGAAGGTCCTTCTGGCTTGGGGAAGGAAGGGCGACTTTCTAGCAATATGGCTGGCTTGGGAAGCTGGTCAAAGGGGATGGCATCCGCAGAGCTTGGGGCTCTGGATGCCTTTGAGTTCCGAGTTGCTCTCCAGACCTTGGTTGGCGAGATCCTCGTGAAGAAGAAACAAAGAGCTGCCCTCTTGGCACGGTTCAAGTGGCCCTACCTGTGCCACAGCTGGTTGTGGAGCGATGGGCATGCCTTCGGCATCTGCGGCGAGACAACCACTGAGGATGAGTTTGCTGCTCTGGGTGGCAACCTTGTCTCCGGGGCTGCTACCCTGGGAGGCAGTCATGCAATCAGTGCAAGCGATGCTGCTGCGGGCGGCGACAAGGCGATCAGTGCATGCGAGACTGCTGCTTCCACCTCTGGCGAGACAAGCAGTGCATGGGACTTTGCTGCCGAGGGCGGCGACCATGAAGCGACGGAGCGTGATGATGATGCTCCCCTCCTTGGTGATCACTTTTGCTGGGAGGATGTGCAAGATGCAGGCAGCCACGGCATTGCTACTAGCACCTTTGGCGCCATCGTCGACTCGCCTGTTCTTAGGGTTAAGGGGAACCGGACCCAAGAACCGAGAAGAACAGCAAAAGATCCGCATGAGGACAAAGAGTGCTGTAGGGTAGCTAGGGCGTCTTGGTCACAACGATCAGATGCCGGGAGCCGGACCCCAGGACCGAGAAGAAACAACCAAGATCCGCTTGAGGACCAAAAGTGTGAGAATGCTAGGATCACCGGCCCTCCTGTTGGCCCCCCTGGGCCTCCAGCATCGCAGTGCGGAAGCCATGGCAGCGGTGTTGGCATTCAGGCTCCTCCTGCCTGTGCTGTGGCGGCTGCTGGCGGCCAGTTGAACGAGCTCTTCCACACGAAGGGCAAGTACACCAACACGTTGCTTGAGGACCTGGAGGGCGAGGTCACTGGCGACGACGACGCGAGGGGACACAATCCTCATGCCGACGGCTGCGGGCGACGACGACGTGTTGCCGGCAACTGTGGTGCCGCATGCTTGCACACCTCTGGGGTGCCCCTAGGGTTTAGTCCTAAAGGGTTTCCCGGCAGTGCAAAACGGCGGCTTTGCAAGAGGCAGCTTCCAGCACGGGGGGCTTATGTGAAGCCCCGAAAACGCTGCTGCCGCAGAGCCTTTGGAGCTACAACCAACACACTGTGCGAGTACATTCCCAGACAGTTTTCTTATGATTTTGTGCAGCCTGTCTCCCTGGACCCAGTAGGGTGTAGTCCTCTTAGGTCCCAGCCGACTTTTGAGCGCACAGCATGTGATGTATCTTCTGAGTTTCCGCTTGATCAGACCTTCCAGTGTTGGTGCTGCGGCGCAACCGGCCGACTCTGTCTGAGGTGCGGTCAGGAACCCTCGAAAGAGAGCGAGAAATCCCACCGAGGACGGGCCAGGACCCATGCTGCCCGCCCTTTTGCATATGATAAGTGTTTTCTTGAAAGTGCCGAGGTCAGCCCGAGGTGCGGTCAAGATTGGTTGAAAGACCCCAGCATATCCCACCGAAGGTTGCATTTCGATCCGATCGACGGCTGCCATGCACCTCCACAAGCTGTGCAGCAAAGGGTCAGAGGAGAAGTGTCGAGGATTGTGAGTGTTGTGGACTGTCGTTTGGATCCTTGTGTAGCCTTTTCGACACCAGCTGTAGACCCTAGGAGAAAATGCATTTCCACCTAAGGATGGGTCTGCAAGTGTTGCAGCAGTGGCCAGGGATGGGGAATTTTCGGGTTTAGGTGATCCGGATGCAAGTCGAACCAGCATATCCCACCGAGGGCGGCCTGCAACCGTGTGCTCGCAGACGCCAGGGACATCCTCAAACACATCATGGTGTCCGCTCCTTCGAGGCTGGCTCCCGGTGTGTCCCTCGTTTCTTGATTTTGGTCAGGCTGTTGCGAGTTGTTGTGCATTCGGGCTTCCCTTTGCTGCTTGCACCCCTAGCCGGGACAAAAGTCACGATGATAAAATCGGAGTGCGAATCGGAGAAGCCAGCCACCCAGGACCGAGATCCGATTTCAATCGAGGCTGCATCCCTTGCATCCCCTGCCTTGAGCCAAACTACGACGACAAGGCGGGCACTCGCATTGGAGAAGCCAGCCACCCCGGGCCTGGCTTTGACTTAGGGGGTGGCTTTGCTGATGCACTGAAGCAGCAGATTATGCAACTCGTGCAGGAGGCAGTGCAAAAGATCCTTGCTGATCTTAACCTGGGTTCTCTCCTGGGGGGTCAGGCTTTAGTGTCACAGACTCCGGCTAACGAGCGGCCAGCTGGGCCACGCAAAGGTCCCAAGGGCACTGAGCGCTCCAAGGGCGGTGGCAAGCACCCAGCCAAGCGTGATGCCACGCCTGCCAAATCACGTGAAGACCCCGCTGGTCCTTTGCATGCAGCGCAACCGCAGCCCTGCCGAGGCAAAGGCAAAGGCAGCCCTACGGCGCAGCCCTCCGGCTCCGGATGGAATCTGGTCACCCGCAAGCCCAAGGAGGAGGGAGAGTTTCAGCTCCGAGCCCAAGATTGGACAGCCCCTTTAGTTGCTTACTCCAGCTTGGGAAATCTCATCGACAAGGCCGCACCAGGTGAGGTCATCAAGGGCGTGGTGTTTGCCACCAAACCCCAGCTTGACACTGCCACTGCCATGCTGAAGTCGTCTGGCAAGCCGTTTGCCATGTTGCACATATATCTTGATAAAGGCACCAATGCTAAGCGTATCCCAGGTCGTATTGGTGATGCTCTGCGTTTCCGCACAGCCCAGGTGATTCAGGTGAACAGTGCCAAGGAACACCTCACCCCGGATCCACAGGGCCTGACAGCCCCGGTGAAGGTCAAATCACTCCAGACCTCCCTGGTCTACATGCGCATCCCCAAGGTGTTTGCCAGCGAGCAAACCTGGAAGGATTTCAAGGGCAATGCTGCCAAGGCTTGCATGCAGTGGGCCGGTTCTCATCATGTGCAAGGAGTTGACGCTTTTGGTTGGGTTGAAGAGCAGATCAAGACCACCAAGACGTCGCAACTGTTTGGCCTGCTCAGGGTCCCTTCTGCTGATGTTGGTACCCTGCTGGGCCGTTCTGGCCAACGAGGGATCTTTGTTGAACCAGCCCGTCGGGATGTTGTCCAGGCACGTCTTGAGTGGCTCCCGCGGCTCAGCAAACAAGAGACCGACGACCAGTATCTGCAAAGAGCCCTTCGGGGCGCCCCTGCTCATGGATTAACCGTCTTCGGCAATCGCATTGCCTGGCGTCACACCAAGACCGACGGCGAACTGCTGCCACGCATCTGGTGTGTCAGTGAAGTGCCGCGTGAATGGCACAGCCATGAGGTCACGCAATTGCTTGAGCAGGGTTTCACTGATATCACCATCCTCTCACACCGTTTGCATAGGGGCTCCATGACCTTTCGTTTTAGGGCCAAGTGCTCGGCGGGGGACAAGGACCTGGTCCCACTCAATGCCCACGTCGATGATTCAGGTCAGCCTATCGTGCTTTGGGCCGCCCTGGCCCCTGCAAGAACTTTTCAGTCTCAGCAGCGGCGCCTCACGCGAGGCACCGTTCCGCATGTTCAGCCTGACAAAACAACTAGCCTTGCTGCAGTGCCGGACTCGGCCCAGGGCTCGGAGGATGTCACAACGGATGCGAATGGCAAAGAGCTACCGGCTGCAAAACGATCACGAGGGTCGACTCGCCTGGTGCCGGAGGGCCTTGAGCGCCGCACATGTGCCACAGACGGCAACTGCGCTTTTCATGCCATTGCTGAGGGTCTCGCCTGGCTCTCCACAGGCAAAGGCGATAGCATCAAGGAGTTCAGCCACGTTGAGCTTCGAGCCCGCGCGGCGGCCCATCTTGAAAAACACCGCCAGGAATACGAAAGTGAATGGGATGGTCTTCTGCCCTGCGGAGGCAAGGACAAAACCTTTGATGATTACTTGACGGCAATCAAGCAGTTGGGGCAATTTGCCTCTGAGCTTGAGATTCGCGCTTTGGCCCGAATCTATAACACTCGAGTACTTATCATCCCGGCGTCAGATCTCTTCACGCCAATGGTTTTCCACACCTCGCAGACCCGGCGAATGTTGGTCCTTTGGCTGGAAAACAAACACTTGGAGTTCCTGAAGCCAAAGGGTGAGAAAACCACGAGCAAGGACTACCCTCAGGAGCACTGGCAGGTCAGCGACGGCCCGGTCAAAGGCATCCGAGTTGGTGGCTCAGACGATGCTTCTTCACTCCGATCGGGCACTGTGTGGACTGCCAATTCGTCTAAGGTGACGCCGGGCATTCATCTCAAGCCCCGAAGCACCAAAGCTGCCAGCAGTGTGCCCCACTCTTTCGATGCTGGTACGGTTTGGACCAAGTGTGCTGCACGCCCTCTTCCTGCTCCCTTGAAGGCCGCACCTGACTCGCAGCGTTGCAAGAACACTGGCCGAAGGCTCGTTGTCACCTCCAGCCGTGGGCTGGATCACTGCAACGAGGACCATGACGACGATCTCAGCCAAGACCTCTCGGGTTGCGAGCCCGATGTCCCTGTGAAACGAAAGCAAATTGCAACTTGCTCGCATCGTGCCCCCATCTGCAGGCCTGCTGATGGTGTTTTTCACTGCAGATTGTGTCCTTTCAAGCGTGCTACTGCTAGCTTGGCACAGTACCGACAGGTCAACCATAACCACTACAATCGGCATCATGGTGGCGCCACGCTTCCGGGGCCCCTTCGACGTCCTCAGGTAGGCAAGGTTCAGGGAGGTGCCAAAAACCGCTTTTGGAAGTGTCCCAAGTGCTCGCTCGGAGTCTCCAAAGAGGTTAGAGCAACCATCAGCAGACATGTGTTTTCCCAGATGCGTGAAGATCACAGACAACAGCACCACCCAGAGGTGCCCAAGAATGAGTGGACCGCTTTGATCTCCTTGAAACAAACCGGTCCTAAGGATGCCAAGGGCTTCGCTGCAGACTGCCGCCGACGCGCTCTGCAAAAGGTTGCCCTCACTGAGGTTTCCCAAGCTAGATTCCCCGGCATGCAAACTTTCGTGTGGCCCGTGCCGCGGCACTTCCCACTTAAGAAAAATGCCAAGGGCACCAGCTCCAAACGTGCTGTCTGCAAAATCAAGCGCATATCCCTAACGCATGCTTGGCTGTGCCAAAAGTGTGGTGCCGCCACGAAAGATCGCCCTATTGCGAGCCGTCACTCTAAGGGCCTGTGTCCACCAGCGAAAAGGGCTGCCCAGGTCACGCGCCTTCGCCTCAAACAATTTGCTGAGATGCGGCGGTGGGTCCTTGATCATGTTGAGGCAGCTGAACAACGGTTGTACTTGAGTGCCATTGATGGGGCTATCCAAGCTGTCCAAAAGCGAGCTCCCCCCAATGCACCTTCGCTCGCCTCCTGACCGTTAACACGAATCAAGCTGGTGTCTCCAAAAATCCCGCCATCTGTAGCTTGTGCCGGGATGAACACATTGATTTTGTTTCCATTCAGGAGGTTGACGTTAACCCCTTGTCTGCTCTAGGCTACATTTCGGAGTGGAAAGCGCTGGGTTATCATGCCATGCTTAGCCCGCAGGAGGAGGACAGAGGCTTGCACAGGGTTGCTCTGATATCTGCGGCCCCGGCGAAGGCGATCGCTCTTCCGCTTCAGAAAGCTCGCACCAGGACTGTGGCAGCCCTCGTGGACACCGTTGAGGACTCCTGTGATGGCACTGTGACTCAACTGCTCCTGATGGCTTTTTACGGCTATCCGGGTGACGTCACGGCCACTGCGGAGGCTTTCGAGGAAGTGCTGTCGGCAGCCCTCGCCTTTGGGGGCCGCTTTGCCATCTGGGGCGACTTCAATGCTGTGCAACAAGAAGGCCCCTTTCCCCGTGCCTTTGCTAGAGGGCAGGTCCAACCCATGGACACCACGATTGAGGCTGAGCAGGTTTGCACCAATCCCAGGCGCACTAGAAGAATTGATTTTGGAGTCTGCCACAGACGCATTGTGGTGGATTCTGTGAGTCACTTCGATTTGCCGCACATTTCTGATCATGTTTCAGTCGTGTATCAAATCGCCATGGACACGAGTTGTGACAGTCACCAAGCCCCGAGGCCGATGGCCCTACAGCCGCCTGATGCGGCAACCGTGCAAGATCTTTTCTTGAAACATTGGGATCCGACGGCCTTTGAGGCCCTTGTTCAGGAAGCGTCCTTGGATGATGCATGGGCCATGCTTTCCGATGTTGCAGAAAAAGCCCTGAAAGGCACTCCACTTGATGGCGACCCCGGGATGTCTCGCAGTGCTAACTGGGATCCACGCCCCCGTCGGGCGACGGCCTCAAGGGCTGGAGCACATGGGCACGAGTCCGCGGCCCTCCGAACGGTGAGAAAATTCTCGGCGCGAATCCACCAATTGTGTGCGCAGCAGCACTCTGAGCCACTCAGACGTGCGGTGCAACGCTCCTTGTGCCAGCTTCGCCATTATTTTGAAAATGTCCCTTATGTTGACTTGCATTCCCCGTGGCAGGCGGCTGAGTGGGCCAAGCAGGCGTGCCAGGACTTGGAAGCCCAGGAAAAGGAGGCCAAACTGCAGCGCTGGAAGCTGGATGTTAAAGATGATGAGCGTAAGGCTCGGTCCTGGATCAAGCGAAAAGCTCGGCAGGCGATTGATGCAGAGAAGCCGGCGGCTCCTGTTGACAACTTGCCGCATGCAGTGCACCCTGCTCGCGTGGTGCAACAGCAAAGCCGCGCCTGGATGCACAAATGGACCTCCCGCCCCAGAACTCAGGAGCAAGAGAGGCTGCTGACGCAAGTGCTGGACAGTGTGCCGCCAGGCCACCACCACGACATGACCATCCAACTTGAAAATGATGATCTCCTGAGGTCCGCCAGGTCCATGAAAGGGAAAATGGAAGGTCCGGATTTTTGGTCCGCTGATTTTCTTTTGCAGATGCCGTTATTGTGGTGGCAGCATTTTGCCAAACTTTGGACGGCGGTTGTGAACACATCGGTTGTTCCCCAGGCCTGGCGCAAATCCTGGGTGCTTCTACTTGATAAAAAGATCAATGAGACGCGGCCAATAAGCATCAGCCCCGTTGCATGGAGGATTGGAGCAAAGGCCCTGAATCGCAAACTCCTGCCCTGGCTCAACTCCTTCCTTGATCACCGTGCCCTGGGGTCTGCCCCGCACAGATCGGCCAGTGATGTGCACGCCAGGCTCTACCTGGCCATGCAGCAAAACTGCAGTACCTTTGTGCAACAAGATCTTAGTTCCTTCTTCGATTCACTTGACCATAATGCGATGGCTCGCGCCCTGACGAGGCTCGGAGCCCCTAGCTGTTTTGTGAACCTTTTTAGAGCCTTCTACACCGACTCTCGTCGTCTGTTTCGAGTGGCCTCATACTTCACGCCTAGCTGGCAAACAGCCACCCAGGGATGCCTGCAAGGCTGTCCGCTCAGCCCCACGGTGGCCCTGTGCTATGGATTCATATGGAGCCAGTACTGCGCCACCAGCTCTGTTGAATGTGCAATTTATGTGGATGATAGAATTCTGTGGCCCAGGCAACCTGCCACGGAGTCTGCTGGGCGAGCGCTCGCCGAAGCCCTCGACAAAAGTGACCTTGTGGATAAAGCTTTTGGGCTGAGCTGCCGTCCCGAAAAATGCGCTTTGGTTGCCCCTGCAGGCGACCAAACGCTCCAGGCACTCTGGCATCGCAAGTACCCCAGGCAGACTGCCCTGCATACGCTGGGAATTGTGATCGATGTTGACACGCGTGAGTCCACCCTGCTCAAGCTCTCCTTGAAAATGGTTCTCTTGAGACTGCGATACATTCGCATGCTCAACTCGCCGATCGACCTGCAGCGGAGGCTGATCCGCAGCTTGATCCTACCTACTTTCACCTGGGCTGCTGGGGCGGCTAGGCCTTCAGAGCAGGAACTCAGTGAAATCAAGGATGGCATTCTTCGGGCCCTCCGGACCTCGGTCACACGGGAGGCGCCCTGGGCCCTGTTGTGCGCGGTTCATGGCTGGGAGTGGGATCCGGACTTTGCTCTGGACTGGGCCGCCCTAAGCCATGCCTCCCGATACTGGTGCAATCCGCCCCCTTGGCTGGATCACATTCCTGTGAGTGAAGCTGTGCTGCCGTGGACCACCTTTCTGCCTAGGACCTGCGATGTCCTGCAGAGGTGCGGGTGGCGAGTCGCTGAAGATGGAGGGGCCATACAACGAAGTGACGACGACCAAAATGTGCGCACTTTCCGTTTTGGCTACGATAATCTTTCGGTTCTCAAAATGTGGCTCGTCGAGCAATATAAGTTAGTTGGGATACAACGGTGCCCTAGGATTAAGACCTCTTACCACCGTAGTGATCCCTCCTTTGCCCGTGGACTAAACCTTCCGGCCCCCCCGCCTGGAACCCGCCATGCTTTAGCGGGCCACCGTGCCTTAGGTAGGGGCGGCCCCCTGGATGTGCAACGAGCGGCCGTGGCTTCGGGTAACTCCACATGGCATGTTGCTAAGCGAATACAAGGCTTCACTCAGCCACAAGTTTGCCCATGTGGACTTCGAGCGCCCAGCAGGGCGCACCTCACTTGGAATTGCGATGTCTTGACGCCTGTTTCCGTTCTGGGACAACTGCCACGCACCAGAGCAGGCGAGAGACTGTTCGCTGCTGAGGTCCCGGAGTTTCCACCGGCCGTTGGTGGGGACCCCTGGAGAGATGCGGCGGCCGCCCTTGCACGCCGACTGGATGATGTCACCCTTTCGGCCCCCGAGAATGGTTGTGGCGATGTCCTCCTCGCGACTGATGGCTCTAGCAAGCATCAGGTGGGCTCGGCGGCGGTGGTGCATGGTGATGCTCACTTCGTTGCCACTGACAACAATGAGGACCAGATGCCTTTCACTTGCGAACTCAAAGCCCTGCGACTCGTATCGGCTGCCCTCCTTCAGGTGACTGTCATCGCTGGGCGCCGCTTCTGTGTGCTGTCAGACTGCCAAGGGGCCCTTGATGCTCTTGAGAACCCTCTTCAGTGTGCACTGCCCCTGCTTGCTGCAGAAGTCTCGCGAAATCTCCAGTCCGCCAGGGCCCTGGGCCACCAAGTTGACCTTGCTTGGATACCCTCCCATGGCAAACAACAGAGTTGGAAGCCTCCGGCGAGCTGGATTTTCTCGGTTGCAGTGTGCCGCGCCTTGAATGACCAAGCGGACAGGGCGGCTGAAACCGCTCGTGAAGCACATGCTGCCAGGTGTTCGAGGGTCCAGTGGTGGTCCCAGTGGCAGGCTGCAAAAGAATGGGAAATGGCTGCCATCAAGCACTCGGCTGCTGCAGCCGGTGCTTTGGATGCCCATTATCGCCGGGCCATGGAACCGGCCGATGATGACCAAGATGGTGTAGGATAGTCCTTTGGTTGCCCGGGCTTTTTGGGTTGAGGTTTAGTCCCCTTTTCCCGTTTTGCCTTAGCCGTGACCCTTGAGTGGAAACAACATGTTCTTTCACGACTGCCAGTGATATGTGCCTTGTGGAGCTTGCGCCTGTCTTCTGCCTCAAAGGCGAGGTCCTAAGCTCGTGCTTCCCTCAAGTGCCACTGACGCTTGCGTGGCTGCACTGAAGCCTGTCTTCGTGTGCGTCTGCTTTCTTGACTGCCGGTGATAAGTGCCTTGTAGAGTTGCGCCCTTCTTCAACCTTTGTGGCGAAGTCTTCACCTGGTGCCCCTCTCTTGTGCTACTGACTTTTGTGAGGATGCACCGATTCCTGACGTCGTGTGCGCCGGACCTGTTTTTCACAACAGCCAGTGCTTCGTACCTTCTTTAGGTCGCGCCTGTCCAGGCACCCTTTCTCTTGCCTCGGCGCTGAGGCCCTGAAAGGATGCCCCTCAATGGTAATCCTCAGGCACTGGGCCAGTGCCCTTGTGCTCAGGCTTGCCATAGCTGTGCCTTGAAGTGCCACTGCGGTGTCGTGCCCGAAAGACCTCCTGCCTAGGGTAGGGTAGGGTAGGGTAGGCCGCAGACACGCGAACTGGCCCTCTTGCCGTTCGCGTTGAGTAGTTCGCAGACTCGTGATGCCCGTGTCACGACTAGGAGCCCTGTTTCACTGGTTCACAAGAGGAGAGTCTTGAGTGGGACTTCGGCAAGCTCATGCTCTTCCACGTGTGCATATGTTTCTGAAGCCCTGTGGCCTTTCGCTTGCTGTACAGCTTTCGCGATCGCCCTCGGCTTCTGGTGGTTCTCACCCGAGGCGACATGCTGGTGTTAAGGACTTGCTGGGGCGAGCCTTTTCATCCCAAACTTGCGAGGTGAAAACAGGCGGGCTCAAGCGGAGTAAGGTCTCCACGGGACTGAGCCCGGGCAACGGTTGGCCCCAACAACCGGCGAACATTCTCCACCGAGCGCCATGGCTCCGTCCTCCGGCGGTGCGCGGTGCGGCTTTTTGGCAGACATTACACGACGCTGGCTCCTCATGGAGCGCACTCTTCACGAAGGTCCTTCTGGCTTGGGGAAGGAAGGGCGACTTTCTAGCAATATGGCTGGCTTGGGAAGCTGGTCAAAGGGGATGGCATCCGCAGAGCTTGGGGCTCTGGATGCCCTTGAGTTCCGAGTTGCTCTCCAGACCTTGGTTGGCGAGATCCTCGTGAAGAAGAGACAAAGAGCCGCCCTCTTGGCACGGTTCAAGTGGCCCTACCTGTGCCACAGCTGGTTGTGGAGCGATGGGCATGCCTACGGCATCTGCGGCGAGACAACCACTGAGGATGAGTTTGCTGCTCTGGGTGGCAACCTTGTCTCCGGGGCTGCTACCCTGGGAGGCAGTCATGCAATCAGTGCAAGCGATGCTGCTGCGGGCGGCGACAAGGCGATCAGTGCATGCGAGACTGCTGCTTCCACCTCTGGCGAGACAAGCAGTGCATGGGACTTTGCTGCCGAGGGCGGCGACCATGAAGCGACGGAGCGTGATGATGATGCTCCCCTCCTTGGTGATCACTTTTGTTGGGAGGATGTGCAAGATGCAGGCAGCCACGGCATTGCTACTAGCACCTTTGGCGCCATCGTCGACTCGCCTGTTCTTAGGGTTAAGGGGAACCGGACCCAAGAACCGAGAAGAACAGCAAAAGATCCGCATGAGGACAAAGAGTGCTGTAGGGTAGCTAGGGCGTCTTGGTCACAACGATCAGATGCCGGGAGCCGGACCCCAGGACCGAGAAGAAACAACCAAGATCCGCTTGAGGACCAAAAGTGTGAGAATGCTAGGATCACCGGCCCTCCTGTGGGCCCCCCTGGGCCTCCAGCCTCGCAGTGCGGAAGCCATGGCAGCGGTGTTGGCATTCAGGCTCCTCCTGCCTGTGCTGTGGCGGCTGCTGGCGGCCAGTTGAACGAGCTCTTCCACACGAAGGGCGAGTACACCAACACGTTGCTTGAGGACCTGAAGGGCGAGGTCACTGGCGACGACGACGCGCGGGGACACAATCCTCATGCCGACGGCTGCGGGCGACGACGACCTGTTGCCGGCAACTGTGGTGCCGCATGCTTGCACACCTTTGGGGTGCCCCTAGGGTTTAGTCCTAAAGGGTTCCCCGGCAGTGCAAAACGGCGGCTTTGCAAGAGGCAGCTTCCAGCACGGGGGGCTTATGTGAAGCCCCGAAAACGCTGCTGCCGCAGAGCCTTTGGAGCTACAACCAACACACTGTGCGAGTACATTCCCGGACAGTTTTCTTGTGATTTTGTGCAGCCTGTCTCCCTGGACCCAGTAGGGTGTAGTCCCCTTAGGTCCCAGCCGACTTTTGAGCGCACAGCATGTGATGTATCTTCTGAGTTTCCGCTTGATCAGACCTTCCAGTGTTGGTGCTGCGGCGCAACCGGCCGACTCTGTCTGAGGTGCGGTCAGGAACCCTCGAAAGAGAGCGAGAAATCCCACCGAGGACGGGCCAGGACCCATGCTGCCCGCCCTTTTGCATATGATAAGTGTTTTCTTGAAAGTGCCGAGGTCAGCCCGAGGTGCGGTCAAGATTGGTTGAAAGACCCCAGCATATCCCACCGAAGGTTGCATTTCGATCCGATCGACGGCTGCCATGCACCTCCTCAAGCTGCGCAGCAAAGAGTCAGAGGAGAAGTGTCGAGGATTGTGAGTGTTGTGGACTGTCGTTTGGATCCTTGCGTAGCCTTTTCGACACCAGCTGTAGACCCAAGTCTAGGAGAAAATGCATTTCCACCTAAGGATGGGTCTGCAAGTGTTGCAGCAGTGGCCAGGGATGGGGAATTTTCGGGTTTAGGTGATCCGGATGCAAGTCGAACCAGCATATCCCACCGAGGGCGGCCTGCAACCGTGTGCTCGCAGACGCCAGGGACATCCTCAAACACATCATGGTGTCCTTTGCTTCGAGGCTGGCTCCCTTTGTGCCCCTCTTTGCTTGATTATGGTCAGGCTGTTGCAGGTTGTTGTGCATTCGGGTTTCCCTTTGCTGCTTGCACTCCTAGCCGGGACAAAAGTCACGATGACAAAATTGGAGCGCGAATCGGAGAAGCCAGCCACCCAGGACCGAGATCCGATTTCAATCGAGGCTGCATCCCTTGCATCCCCTGCCGTGAGCCAAGCTACGACGACAAGGCGGGCACTCGCATTGGAGAAGCCAGCCACCCCGGGCCTGGCTTTGACTTAGGAGGTGGCTTTGCTGATGCACTGAAGCAGCAGATCATGCAACTTGTGCAGGAGGCAGTGCAAAAGATCCTTGCTGATCTTAACCTGGGTTCTCTCCTGGGGGGTCAGGCTTTAGTGTCACAGACTCCGGCTAACGAGCGGCCAGCTGGGCCACGCAAAGGTCCCAAGGGCACTGAGCGCTCCAAGGGCGGTGGCAAGCACCCAGCCAAGCGTGATGCCACGCCTGCCAAATCACGTGAAGACCCCGCTGGTCCTTTGCATGCAGCGCAACCGCAGCCCTCCCGAGGCAAAGGCAAAGGCAGCCCCACGGCGCAGCCCTCCGGCTCAGGATGGAATCTGGTCACCCGCAAGCCCAAGGAGGAGGGAGAGTTTCAGCTCCGAGCCCAAGATTGGACAGCCCCTTTAGTTGCTTACTCCAGCTTGGGAAATCTCATCGACAAGGCCGCACCAGGTGAGGTCATCAAGGGCGTGGTGTTTGCCACCAAACCCCAGCTTGACACTGCCACTGCCATGCTGAAGTCGTCTGGCAAGCCGTTTGCCATGTTGCACATTTATCTTGATAAAGGCACCAATGCTAAGCGTATCCCAGGTCGTATTGGTGATGCTCTGCGATTCCGCACAGCCCAGGTGATTCAGGTGAACAGTGCCAAGGAACACCTCACCCCGGATCCACAGGGCCTGAAAGCCCCGGTGAAGGTCAAATCACTCCAGACCTCCCTGGTCTACATGCGCATTCCCAAGGTGTTTGCCAGCGAGCAAACCTGGAAGGATTTCAAGGGCAATGCTGCCAAGGCTTGCATGCAGTGGGCCGGTTCTCATCATGTGCAAGGAGTTGACGCTTTTGGTTGGGTTGAAGAGCAGATCAAGACCACCAAGACGTCGCAACTGTTTGGCCTGCTCAGGGTCCCCTCTGCTGATGTTGGTACCCTGCTGGGCCGTTCTGGCCAACGAGGGATCTTTGTTGAACCAGCCCGTCGGGATGTTGTTCAGGCGCGTCTTGAGTGGCTCCCGCGGCTCAGCAAACAAGAGACCGACGACCAGTATCTGCAAAGAGCCCTTCGGGGCGCCCCTGCTCATGGATTAACGGTCTTCGGAAATCGCATTGCCTGGCGCCACACCAAGACCGATGGCGAACTGCTGCCACGCATCTGGTGTATCAGTGAAGTGCCGCGTGAATGGCACAGCCATGAGGTCATGCAATTGCTTGAGCAGGGCTTCACGGATATCACCATCCTCTCCCACCGTTTGCATAGGGGCTCCATGACCTTTCGTTTTAGGGCCAAGTGCTCGGCGGGGGACAAGGACCTGGTCCCACTCAATGCCCACGTCGATGATTCAGGTCAGCCTATTGTGCTTTGGGCCGCCCTGGCCCCCGCAAGAACTTTCCAGTCTCAGCAGCGGCGCCTCACGCGAGGCACCGTTCCGCATGTTCAGCCTGACAAAACAACTAGCCTTGCTGCAGTGCCGGATTCGGCCCAGGGCTCGGAGGATGTCACAACGGATGCGAATGGCAAAGAGCTACCGGCTGCAAAACGATCACGAGGGTCGACTCGCCTGGTGCCGGAGGGCCTTGAGCGCCGCACATGTGCCACTGACGGCAACTGCGCTTTTCATGCCATTGCTGAGGGTCTCGCCTGGCTCTCCACAGGCAAAGGCGATAGCATCAAGGAGTTCAGCCACGTTGAGCTTCGAGCCCGCGCGGCGGCCCATCTTGAAAAACACCGCCAGGAATACGAAAGTGAATGGGATGGTCTTCTGCCCTGCGGAGGCAAGGACAAAACCTTTGATGATTACTTGACGGCAATCAAGCAGTTGGGGCAATTTGCCTCTGAGCTTGAGATTCGCGCTTTGGCCCGAATCTATAACACTCGAGTACTTATCATCCCGGCGTCAGATCTCTTCACGCCAATGGTTTTCCACACCTCGCAGACCCGGCGAATGTTGGTCCTTTGGCTGGAAAACAAACACTTGGAGTTCCTGAAGCCAAAGGGTGAGAAAACCACGAGCAAGGACTACCCTCAGGAGCACTGGCAGGTCAGCGACGGCCCGGTAAAAGGCATCCGAGTTGGTGGCTCAGACGATGCTTCTTCACTCCGATCGGGTACTGTGTGGACTGCCAATTCGTCTAAGGTGACGCCGGGCATTCATCTCAAGCCCCGAAGCACCAAAGCTGCCAGCAGTGTGCCCCACTCTTTCGATGCTGGTACGGTTTGGACCAAGTGTGCTGCACGCCCTCTTCCTGCTCCCTTGAAGGCCGCACCTGACTCGCAGCGTTGCAAGAACACTGGCCGACGGCTCGTTGTCACCTCCAGCCGTGGGCTGGATCACCACAACGAGGACCATGACGATGATCTCAGCCAAGACCTCTCGGGTTGCGAGCCCGATGTCCCTGTGAAACGAAAGCAAATTGCAACTTGCTCGCATCGTGCCCCCATCTGCAGGCCTGCTGATGGTGTTTTTCACTGCAGACTGTGTCCTTTCAAGCGTGCTACTGCTAGCTTGGCACAGTATCGCCAAGTCAACCATAATCACTACAACCGGCATCATGGTGGAGCCACGCTTCCGGGGCCCCTTCGACGTCCTCAGGTAGGCAAGGTTCAGGGAGGTGCCAAAAACCGCTTTTGGAAGTGTCCCAAGTGCTCGCTCGGAGTCTCCAAAGAGGTTAGAGCAACCATCACCAGACACGTGTTTTCCCAGATGCGTGAAGATCACAGACAACAGCACCACCCAGAGGTGCCCAAGAATGAGTGGACCGCTTTGATCTCCTTGAAACAAACTGGTCCTAAGGATGCCAAAGGCTTCGCTGCAGACTGCCGCCGACGCGCTCTGCAAAAGGTTGCCCTTAATGAGGTTTCCCAAGCTAGATTCCCCGGCATGCAAACTTTCGTGTGGCCCGTGCCGCGGCACTTCCCACTTAAGAAAAATGCCAAGGGCACCAGCTCCAAACGTGCTGCCTGCAAAATCAAGCGCATATCCCTAACACATGCTTGGCTGTGCCAAAAGTGTGGTGCCGCCACGAAAGATCGCCCTATTGCGCACCGTCACTCTAAGGGCCTGTGTCCACCAGCGAAAAGGGCTGCCCAGGTCACGCGCCTTCGCCTCAAACAATTTGCTGAGATGAGGCGGTGGGTCCTTGATCATGTTGAGGCAGCTGAGCAACGGTTGTACTTGAGTGCCATTGATGGGGCTATCCAAGCTGTCCAAAAGCGAGCTCCCCCCAATGCACCTTCGCTCGCCTCCTGACCGTTAACACGAATCAATCTGGTGTCTCCAAAAATCCCGCCATCTGTAGCTTGTGCCGGGATGAACACATTGATTTTGTTTCCATTCAGGACGTTGACGTTAACCCCTTGTCTGCTCTAGGCTACATTTCGGAGTGGAAAGCGCTGGGTTATCATGCCATGCTTAGCCCGCAGGAGGAGGACAGAGGCTTGCACAGGGTTGCTCTGATATCTGCGGCCCCGGCAAAGGCGATCGCTCTTCCGCTTCAGAAGGCTCGCACCAGGACTGTGACAGCCCTCGTGGACACCGTTGAGGACTCCTGTGATGGCACTGTGACTCAACTGCTCCTGATGGCTTTTTACGGCTATCCGGGTGACGTCACGGCCACTGCGGAGGCTTTCGAGGAAGTGCTGTCGGCAGCCCTCGCCTTTGGGGGCCGCTTTGCCATCTGGGGCGACTTCAATGCTGTGCAACAAGAAGGCCCCTTTCCCCGTGCCTTTGCTAGAGGGCAGGTCCAACCCATGGACACCACGATTGAGGCTGAGCAGGTTTGCACCAATCCCAGGCGCACTAGAAGAATTGATTTTGGAGTCTGCCACAGACGCATTGTGGTGGATTCTGTGAGTCACTTCGATTTGCCGCACATTTCTGATCATGTTTCAGTCGTGTATCAAATCGCCATGGACACGAGTTGTGACAGTCATCAAGCCCCGAGGCCGATGTCCCTACAGCCGCCTGATGCGGCAACCGTGCACGATCTGTTCTTGAAACATTGGGATCCGACGACCTTTGAGGCCCTTGTTCAGGAAGCGTCCTTGGATGATGCATGGGTCATGCTTTCCGATGTTGCAGAAAAAGCCCTGAAAGGCACTCCACTTGATGGCGACCCCGGGATGTCTCGCAGTGCTCACTGGGATCCACGCCCCCGTCGGGCGACGGCCTCAAGGGCTGGAGCACATGGGCACGAGTCCGCGGCCCTCCGAACGGTGAGAAAATTCTCGGCGCGAATCCACCAATTGTGTGCACAGCAGCACTCTGAGCCACTTAGACGTGCGGTGCAACGCTCCTTGTGCCAGCTTCGCCATTATTTTGAAAATGTCCCTTATGTTGACTTGCATTCCCCGTGGCAGGCGGCTGAGTGGGCCAAACAGGCGTGCCAGGACTTGGAAGCCCAGGAAAAGGAGGCCAAACTGCAGCGCTGGAAGCTGGATGTTAAAGATGATGAGCGTAAGGCTCGGTCCTGGATCAAGCGAAAAGCTCGGCAGGCGATTGATGCAGAGAAGCCGGCGGCTCCTGTTGAAAACTTGCCGCATGCAGTGCACCCTGCTCGCGTGGTGCAACAGCAAAGCCGCGCCTGGATGCACAAATGGACCTCCCGCCCCAGAACTCAGGAGCAAGAGAGGCTGCTGACGCAAGTGCTGAACAGTGTGCCGCCAGGCCACCACCACGACATGACCATCCAACTTGAAGCTGATGATCTCCTGAGGTCCGCCAGGTCCATGAAAGGGAAAATGGAAGGTCCGGATTTTTGGTCCGCTGATTTTCTTTTGCAGATGCCGTTATTGTGGTGGCAGCATTTTGCCAAACTTTGGACGGCGGTTGTGAACACATCGGTCGTTCCCCAGGCCTGGCGCAAATCCTGGGTGCTTCTACTTGATAAAAAGATCAATGAGACGCGGCCAATAAGCATCAGCCCCGTTGCATGGAGGATTGGAGCAAAAGCCCTGAATCGCAAACTCCTGCCCTGGCTCAACTCCTTCCTTGATCACCGTGCCCTGGGGTCTGCCCCGCACAGATCGGCCAGTGATGTGCACGCCAGGCTCTACCTGGCCATGCAGCAAAACTGCACTACCTTTGTGCAACAAGATCTTAGTTCCTTCTTCGATTCACTCGACCATAATGCTATGGCTCGCGCCCTGACGAGGCTCGGAGCCCCTAGCTGCTTTGTGAACCTTTTTAGAGCCTTCTACACCGACTCCCGTCGTCTGTTTCGAGTGGCCTCATACTTCACGCCTAGCTGGCAAACAGCCACCCAGGGATGCCTACAAGGCTGCCCGCTCAGCCCCACGGTGGCCCTGTGCTATGGTTTCATTTGGAGCCAGTACTGCGCTACCAGCTCTGTTGAATGTGCAATCTATGTGGATGATAGAATTCTGTGGCCCAGGCAACCTGCTACGGAGTCCGCTGGGCGAGTGCTCGCCGAAGCTCTCGACAAAAGTGACCTTGTGGATAAAGCTTTTGGGCTGAGCTGCCGTCCCGAAAAATGCGCGTTGGTCGCCCCTGCAGGCGACCAAACGCTCCAGGCACTCTGGCATCGCAAGTACCCCAGGCAGACTGCACTGCATACGCTGGGAATTGTGATTGATGTTGACACTCGCGAGTCCACCCTGCTCAAGCTCTCCTTGAAAATGGTTCTCTTGAGACTGCGATACATTCGCATGCTCAACTCGCCGATCGACATGCAGCGGAGGCTGATCCGCAGCTTGATCCTACCTACTTTCACCTGGGCTGCTGGGGCTGCTAGGCCTTCGGAGGAGGAACTCAGTGAAATCAAGGATGGCATTCTTCGGGCCCTCCGGACCTCGGTCACGCGGGAGGCGCCCTGGGCCCTGTTGTGCGCGGTTCATGGCTGGGAGTGGGACCCGGACTTTGCTCTGGACTGGGCCGCCTTAAGCCACGCCTCACGATACTGGTGCAATCCGCCCCCTTGGCTGGATCACATTCCTGTGAGTGAAGCTGTGCTGCCGTGGACCACCTTTCTGCCTAGGACCCGCGATGTCCTGCAGAGGTGCGGGTGGCGAGTCGCTGAAGATGGAGGGGCCATACAACGAAGTGATGACGACCAAAATGTGCGCACTTTCCGTTTTGGATACGATAATCTTTCGGTTCTCAAAATGTGGCTCGTCGAGCAATATAAGTTAGTGGGGATTCAACGGTGCCCTAGGATTAAGACCTCTTACCACCGTAGTGATCCCTCCTTTGCCCGTGGACTAAACCTTCCGGCCCCCCCGCCTGGAACCCGCCATGCTTTAGCGGGCCACCGTGCCTTAGGTAGGGGCGGCCCCCTGGATGTGCAACGAGCGGCCGTGGCTTCGGGTAACTCCACTTGGCATGTTGCTAAGCGAATACAGGGCTTCACTCAACCACAAGTTTGCCCGTGTGGACTTCGAGCGCCCAGCAGGGCGCACCTTACTTGGAATTGCGCATCACTTCACGCGTGCGTGTCGATGTTTTATAGATCCTAGGTCAAACGAAATTTTGTAAGCAACAAAATTTTGGGCCATGACAATCTTTGCGCTACTCTTAGTAGTGCTTCACAATCCAGACTTTTAACAACTTTCAATGCTGTTGCATGATTTCGTTTCTCATGTCGAGTAACGATTTTTAAACCATGCGGTTAAACGCACACTTGTTCATGATTGAATCTGCAATCATCGAGGCTGTCTCGAGATCGAGCCAGAATTTTTGATTTGAGGGCTCTCTAGAGGCTTGTAATTTCGTCTAACAGGCCTGAGCCCTCCGAACTCGGTGTTGCTCTTAGAGCACCGTGCAAGAGCCCCGCCGGGGGCTCGGATGGATCCGAGCTCGACCCTTGCGGCCGAGTCGTCTTCCAGCGACACTCAAGAGGCCATTTCGGCCCACCTGCACGCAGTTCAGCTTCAAGTTAATTCCCTTGAACAGCAGCTTGCCTTGCTGCGATCAGAACTGCAGGAAGTTCGCCAACAGCTTGTGGATCTTGAGGCCGAAAGATACCAGCACTCCCTTCGCTTGGGGTGGCTGGAGCAACTTGTGCAGCGCGTTTCACGCGCTTTCCGCTTTCAGTGATTGTGCCTGCACTGGGGTACTTCGGGGCTGTAGTAGAATGGGGGATGATGAGAACAGCTCCCTTCCTTCGAGTTACGGGCTTCACCTGAGGTCGTGCCTGCGAGACTCGAGGTCTATTTGGAAGACCCCTTGGAACAATGCACTCGTAGCTTTTGACCCTAAGCCCCGCTTGCCGCCTCCTCTTGGACCTCTCCCCCTTGTAGTCCCTATGGACCCTTCTGCCGATCAGCCTGCCGTGCCGAACCCTCGCTTCGTCAGGTCGGAAGGGCTTGAGCAAGTGTGTGCTAAAATGGCCAAGTTCAAACATACTTCTTGGGAGGTTATGATCAATGAGGAGAGAAATCTTGCCGTGAATAAGTGGCTCAGCCTTGTCATGGTCGAGCCCTTGACCTTCGGTGTAGCTAGGAACTTCTACGCCGGCAAAGCGTCAGGGATCTCTTCAGGATCGCTTGCAGACAGCATTTCGGATTGCCTTGCTGCCAAGGCTACTTCGACGATCAATGCCAGGGCGAATTGCTTGTTGCGGTTTGTTTCTTGGGCAAAGGGGAACATGCCGTTTGTTTTTCCCTTGACCGAGCATGCTGTCTACGCATACTTCGAGGAGAAGAAATCCACAGCAGCGGCAACTTCGTTCAGGGGCCTTCTCTCTTCGGTTGCTTTCGCTCAGCATGTGGTAGGCCTGGAAGGGTGTGACAAGGTTTACACTTCGGGTCGTGTCCGCGGCCTTGCGTCGAAGCTTTACATGCAGAAGAGGAAGCTCAAGCAACGGAATCCTCTGAGGGTCTCCGATGTCATTCTTCTTGAAAGGATTTGTTGCAAGCTTGAAGACAGGTCTTTGCAGGACCGTGTCGCTGCAGGCTTCTTTCTCTTCTTGATTTATGCAAGAGCACGATACAGTGACGGGCAAAACGTGGCATCGCTGACTGATTCGCCGCTCTACTTGGAGTGCAGTGTGGGCAGGTCCAAGACTAGTTTCACTTTGGAACGCAAGACCAGGTACTTGCCAATGGCTGCCAGGAAAGTGGGCATCAAGTGTGCATGGGCCGATGCGTGGCTTGACGCTTTGGCAGAGGCGGGTCTTGCGATCAAGCCGAACGACCCGCTGCTTCCCTGCCCTTCTTCGAATGGTTCGTGGAAGATGATCCCGCTTCCGTGCGATCAGGCTTGCTCGTGGCTCAGGAGCCTGCTAGGGAACGCTCAGAGCGATCCCTACCTTGCAAATGTGGGGACACATAGCCTTAAGAGGACTCTGCTGAGTTGGGCAAGCAAGCGTGGTCTGCCCCGAGAACAGAGGGCCCTCCTGGGGTATCACACGTCCCGAGCCTCAGGTGCGGGGTCAGAGCTGATCTATGAGTCCGACGCCCAGTCGGCTCCGCTCAGGGCTTTGTCAACTATGATCGACGAGGTGTCATCGGGGGCCTTCAAGCCCGACAAACCAAGGGGGCAGCAGCTTGCTTCCGAGCTGTCGGCGCATGCCGATCCCCCTGGCGACGAGATCGAGTCATCAGACTCGGAGGGCTCCGAGGACGAGGAGGAGATCGACCACTCGGGCGATGAAGCTTGTGTTGCCGAGGCTTTGGACTGGCATGGGAAGGTCGACCTTGACAAGATTGATCCCTCGTGTGTTTTCTTTCGGCATCGCCAATCCAGGGTAGTGCACATCACTGCCGACGAAGCCGGTGCCAACCTAGGCTGCGGTAGGACCATTTCGGGTCAGTACAGGAAGCTGGAGGCGCGACCCGCAGTTTTGCATCCAAGGTGCAAGCAGTGCTTCAGGAGATACCTGGTTGTGCAGCAGGGCACATGACTCTGCATTCGGCTCGTGCCTGCAATTTTTGTGCAAAAGGGTGATGTCGTGCACGTGCGCTCCGCAAGCCGGTCAAGTGTTGACATTTGTGCTATCGTGCAAGAGCAGCGATCTGCTGGGTGTCGTGTCCTGCAAGATGAGTGATTTGATGAAGAGCAAAGCCCTCCTGCAGCTGCTTTTAGCTCGTAGGGGTCCAAGCATCACACCATGGCGGCCTTCTCCGAGTCGGGGCCAGTGTTCAAATCACGATGTGCCCAGGTCGGTTTGGCATCTGCGGATATCGAAAAACTCGAGAAGGTGGGTGTGGATTCACTCGCAAAGGTCGCTTTCATGACGAGCTACACGCCGGGCTCTGGCGATGACAAGGACCTCATTGCGGCGTTCGAGTCGGCCCTCGGGACGCCGCCCTCTGTAGGGCAGAAAAGCTCCTTCCGAAGGTTATTTCATGAAGCATATGCTGTTACCACTTCGGAAATGAAGATGCTTGTGGAGCGGACGGATGAATCCATCCCAAGAAAATTGAGCGTCCCGGAGAGATCTGAGAGGTTCGAGGTAGTGAGCAAACGCCTTGTGGGCCTTTCGATCAAGAACCGTCTTGAGCCTGCCGATAGCCTCGTCGACTCCTTCGTGTCCCAGTATGAACAGGACAAGCTGCAGTTTGTCCCGTGGGAGAAGCTTGTTTCCAAAGAACAAGAGGCCTCGACAGGGGCAAAGCGAGAGCCTTTCTTCTCGCTGGACAGTACGGGCAAGCTCAGGTCGGAGACAAAAGTTGAGGTCCGTGCCGATACGAGCACGGAGCTGCTCTTGCAGCTCGCGCTTCAGAGGCGCGGCATCGCTATGGAGATGGCGAACATCCTTGACTACCATCGTCACCACATGTGGGTTGAGCGCCTTCTTGCGGCGCGCCTCGACGCACCTCCGTCGACGCACATGCAGCCCACGCTTGATCAGTGTCAGCAGGCTGACAGGAAGCTTTGGCAGCTTCTCGGAGAAGCGACTCGCTCTGGCATCCAGCTCAAAGCTGGGGGGCGTCCATTGGACGCCATCTTCGAAGACACATGGCAGTCACCAGAGGTCCTTCATTTGCTTCAGCCCATGCCTCGGGCAGCAGGCGCTTCAGTCACGCAGCAGGTGGCACCGCCGCCGAGGCCGCACGGGCCGGGCCCGTATGATCGCCCAGGCAAAGGCCGAAAGGGCACAGGGAAGGGTGCCAAGGGCACCAAAGGATCCGGAAAGGTTCCCGCCGCTCTGGCGGGCTGCAGATCATGCACCAATGCTGGTGAAAACATATGTTTTGGGTATGGACTCAAAACGTGCAGGGAAACCGTGACTCGCGGTCGATGCGTGCGTGGCCTGCACATTTGCGCATGGCCCAAGTGCGGCAAGTCGCACCCTGCATTGGACTGTCCGCTGCGTGCTGAGGCTCTAGGCCAAAAGCAGGAGTGACAGTCGGAAAGCGAGCCCTGCAGCTCGCAGCGCTCGACTCAGAGTCGGGATTGCCCAGGCTTGGCTGGGCACGGTTTTGCATCGCCGCAGGCCTTCCCTGCGCCGACAGATTCTCCTTTAGTGCATCTTGATCCGTGTCAGCAGAGTGCTAGTGTGGATACAAGAAAATTTTCTTCACTTTTGCAATTGCTTCAGAATGCTGCGTGGCCAAAGTCTGTGTTGCAACGTAAGTCTGTTTCGTCCGTGAACTCCGCGCAGTCGGGGTATTACAACTTTGGGCCCAGGGCCAGCAATCCGCAACATTTGACACATGCCACCCTTGCCATGCAGGACTTCGTATTGCGCCTGAACTCAGTTTTCAAGGAGCTTCTGCCTCAAGCTTCCTGGAATGCAATCTGCGTGGGCAGGAATACTTTGTCAGATTTCCACAGGGACTCAGGGAACCAAACAGGTTCGCTGAACCACACTTTCACGCTTGGCACCTTCACTGGCGGCCAGCTTTGGCTCGAAGATGCGTCGGGCACTTCTCAAGCCACTGTCGCAGGCGACAATCACATCAGGGGTAAAATCGTAGACACGTTTTGTTGCCCCACTAGTTTCCCGTGCAACTTGTGGCATAAGACGATGCCCTTCACAGGTGAGAGGTGGGTCGTCACACTCTACACTCTTTCAGGTGGGCAACCCGCCACGTTGCTCCCATTGGGTTTTCCGTGTGATCCTGCTGCCGCGGCGCAACAGCTCCCTCCGCCTCTTCAGCCTGTTTTGCCGTTGGAGTGTGCACCTTCTGGGTCTAGCCCTTCTGCCCCCGCTCCTTTGGGTTCTAGTCCCGCCTCACCCGCCGACCCTCCTTGCAAACGCTTGAAATCGCAAGCTCAAGCCGAGCCTACCCCCAGAAATGAGAAACCGCTGTTTCTGGAAATCTGTAGTGGGTCTGCTATGCTGTCTTATGTTGCCAAAGAGGCCGGATACACAGCCGTGCCCATCGACTGGCATCACAACAAACAGCGGGCGTGTGTGCACACCTTACAGCTCGACTTGCGCCTGGCCAGCACTTGGTCTTTCTTGCGACGCATTTGCTCCGAGTACGATGTTGCTTGGGTGCACATGGCTCCTCCATGCGGCACACATGCATGGGTGGCCGACTCGAACATTGCCACTATCATGCCTTCAACTGGAGATCAACCTCTGGTCCAAGACACGCAGCTACAGCAGGATGCCAGCCAGTACACGTGGACCAAGGTGCTTCACATGTGGCGTACAAAACATGACTTCAAGAATGTGTGTGTGTTCTGTGGTCAATGGGCAGTGGATGCCAGTGCTCTCAAACAGCATTATGCCAAGCAGCATCAGGCATTAACCAATCCGTGGATCGCAGCATATCGGGCCGAGTGTAAGCAGCTAGCTAAAGTTGCCGTATCTAAGTGCCGCTTCTGTTGTACCACCACCACGGATGCTCGTCAGCATGCCCACAAATGCATACATGTTTTTCAGGCCTACATGCTTACCAGCCACGTCTCAGGTCGAAATGGAGGACATGCCGGACTTCGATGCCGACAGCCAGATCCAGAGCCTCCTCGGGGGCCTCTCCTCAGTCGTGGATCTCAAACCACTTCTGAATCCAACGCCAACACCGGCGCGCAATCAGTCCCATCTGACCAACAAGCGTCCGAGGGCGGAACAGTGGACTCGAGGCACCGGGAGCAAGGGCGGCGGAAAGGGCAAAGGAATGGCCTCCAACGGTACTTTATCACAGGAGGATCTTCAACAGCTCCTCAGGCAGATCGTCGTCCTTCTCCTACGCCAAGGCGACCAACTCAATCGGCTACAGACGGATACCGGATACTATTTGGTCTTTCAAGTCCCGGGCGACGCCACCATGGTACCAGTTCTGATTGCGGGAGCACTCGAATGGCGCAATCAGAAGAAGGCCGACCCGACCAAGCTCACCATGTCTCTCCGCATAGCCCTCATCGGACTCTTCCTCAAGGAGCTTCAGATGCGTCTGGAAAAGATCCGGGCCAACGACCAACTTCAGGAGAAGCTCAAGGAGCAAGGCCTGATGACGGACGAAGGTGCTTGGACATATCGCCAATGGTGTCCAAAGAACAAGGCACTTCAGCCACAGCTCAGCAGGGATCCGATCAAGTGGGACGTCCTGATGACACACATCACGAATGCTCTCCAAGGACTGAACAATCAGGACCACATCACACGATTTCAGGCGACCAAAGCCTTGGAAGAAGGACAGATGGGTCCCACCCTTCCATTCCTTCTGGACATCTCGCTCAAGCCGAGTGCGTGCCGTCTACACCAGAGCATGAGGGCATTGGTGGACTGCTCGGCCATGGAAGCAGTCGGCGCACGTATTCGACCCCAACGAGCCAAGCGATCTCAACTTCAGGATCAGCTCCAGGAGTGGCTGCGAGGCAGGTTCTATCATGTCGGTTGCACAATCCACACAATATCTGCTATGCCAACTCTTTCTTCATTGCCCTTGCATGGCTATTTGGTGAGGTCTCGATCTCTGAACATGCCCAGGCTCTATTTCAGATCTTGTGTTTTATCTGCCGGCATGGTCTCAAGTTGCTGTGTCTGCCTGATCACACGGCTTTCCAGGCATTGATTCAGGAATGGCCACATTTTGACCGACAGCAGGATGTGGCAGAGTTTGCGCAACATGTCCTCGCTCGTACATGGCCGGTTCAGAATGTGCTTCCAATGAGTACTTGGCAGTCTCGTGACGAATCAGGATTCTCAACCGATGAAGGTCAGCACCTCATTATGCTTCCGATGCCCTCTCGCGGTTCAAACTCTGAGATTCAGCTGTCAGGGCTGATACAAGCCTGGTCTCAGCAGTCTCCTGCACCAGGGCTGTGGCCACTGCCTCGGTTTGTGTGCCTGCAGCTTCTTCGCTTTTACACTGTTGGTGCCAGAGTTCGCAAGGACCAAAGAGCAGTAACGATTCCGCTTCAGGTACGCTTACCAGTATTTCAAACCGAGATTGGACCGCGACCAGCTTGGCATATGTATAGACTTCGAGCCCTCATTGGGCATCACGGCTCCACTCCGCGCTCAGGTCACTACAGAACGCTGCTGATTCACTGGGAGTCCACCCAGGAAGATCCCCAGTTGTATTACACAGATGATTCCTGTATGGCGCGTCGCCCCACAAATGCACAACTCCGTGTGTTGATGACTGAAGTCTACTTGATCTTCCTGGAGTGCGTGGGGTATGTCAGCTCACTGTAAATGCGGTGAAACAACCACTTGGGTGCTGCTTTGTACATGCTTGCATGCTTTGCATTATATCAGTGCCCTCTTGATTCGCCGCCCTTTTCCAGCTTTTCATGCATATGCCAGCTTTGAGCGTGTGTGCAGGTCATTATGCTTATCTTTTCTACATGGCGACTCACACTTTGATGGGAACACCGTCGGATTCAACAGCAGTTCCAAGCCTTGCTGCTGCCTGTATGCCCTACAATTTACTACATGACGTGCCTTTCGGTATTTATCAGTCCAGACAGCGTGCCCAGTGGATGGATGCCAGAGGCACCTACAATTCACTTGACGATGTACCGCACTGTCTTCCGAACCGATGCACGACATCCGGTTTTCAGGCATGTATGGCATCCAGCAGTGGCTCACGTGGCACACCAGCGCAGCTATTGGTCCTGGTTACGGCAACATCTGATTCTCTGGATGATGTACCACACTGTCTTCGAGACCGAGGAAGTGAACCTATCTCGTGTATCACGATGGATATGCTACATACCTGGGCCGATCAGCCTGCATCTCAACTTCTTACTCCCCACCACCTTGCTCAATTTTTGCATCGATGGGGTTTTTCAGCCGTGGATGTTGTTGAATGGGGCATTTATTACTACTTTGAGCAGGCTCCATGTACAGATGCAGAGTGGAAACAGGTGCTCCTTCAGCAGCTACACCGCAATGTTTATCAGCTTTCCATGTCTGGTGCCATATGCTATTTCAAACAACTGCTAGTGGGTGCCCATCGGGAGGATTTTTATGAGGAGCTTTACACGGTGGCATGTCGTCGCATACAGCTGGATGATCCCACTACTACTATGACCACTGTTCTTCACTGGCTATACATTCTGGCCACGTATGGTACCTTGGTCTGATGCCTCTACAGCTGTTTCTTTGACTGCATGACCTTTACAGTCTGGTGGGCCATGCTATCTATTCGCTTCCGATCCACTGCTCTTCAATCTTCTGTATGGTGCCTTTGTTTTCGATGGTGTTGCTTCATCAACGGTCTTTTTCACAGCATGGGACTTCTTTGTACATGTACATACGGTCGAGTAGTCCAGTCCGTCTGGTCAGACCAATGCCATGTGTACAAAGGTCTAGTAGTCCAGTTCGTCTGGTTAGACCGCGATGTATATACGATCAAGTAGTCCAGTTCGTCTGGTTAGATCGATGCCATGTGTACAAAGGTCTAGTAGTCCAGTGCGTCTGGTCAGACCGATGTGTATATACGATCGAGTAGTCCAGCACGTCTGGTTAGATCGATGACTTGTGCTCTGTCTCACCTTTGTTAATGCTGACGTTGGTTTTTAAAACCACTCCTGCAGTGTTTGCCCACATGTGGCTAGCCCGGTGGGATCCACTGCTTTTGCTCTCTCTCTGAGCCGATGCCACTGTGCATTGTAGCGTAGCGCGAGACTGCTGGACAGTTTGCGTCATACAAAGTACAAAGTACACCGCTAGCCGGGCTCGGGAGTGCGGTCCCGGCCCTAAGCCATTGCGTTCGGTCCGTCATGTGCGCGGCCTGCCCGGCCTCCCACCAGTGGAGCAGGCGAGAGTGGACAGTGCAAACACCATTTATGATAGCATGGCCGCCTTCTGTGACTGGCTGCTGCATGCCATGCCGCATGTTCCCTTCTCCGTTGAAAACCCTCTTCACAGTTACCTGTGGCAGCTCCCGACGTGGGCCGAGCTGCTCGCCAAGCACTCCTTCGTCACATTCGACTCGTGCCGCCACGGGTCACAACGCAAGAAGGCCACCGCCCTCCTCACAAATTCGGAGCTTCTGCACTGCCTTTCGGGCCCATGCCCGGGATGCTCCTCGCACTTGCCGTGGGGTAAGCTGGGCCATACTTTTGCGACAGCTGAGGAGACGGGCTATCCCAAACTTCTTTGCGAAAGGATTGTCTCATGCGTGGATAAGTCAGCTGCATCACGAGGGATTGCGCCTGAACGCCTAGTGGCCTCCAAGGTTTCTGCTGCGCGTGCCGCAGGTCAGGTGCAACCTCGTGGCCGCAAGTTTCCGCCAATCATTTCTGAATTTGCTTACACTATGTCAGTCGCCAGTGCTGCGGCTCCCACTCTCAACTCCAAGCACTGCCTTTCGGCTTCTTGGCACGGCGTCCCTGCAGGCGCCAAGCTCCTCCGGGAGTCAGTTGAAAGGGGAGGTTCGCGACTCCCAGAGGGGAACAAGTTCTACACTTTTGGCGTCTATCGATCCATGCAAGCTTTCTTGAACGAGGCAAAGTTGGTTGTGCACCCCTTCGATTCTGCCAAATCACTTCCAGATGAACTTTTGCGAGTCTTGTTTGACACTCTTACGAAGAGCCCGGTTGACACCATGAAGCACCGTCTTTTGAAGCTACAACAGTGGCGAGCCCTCGCCAGGCAGCTTGATCCCGAAGAAGAGAAAATCAGATCGGCGATGGACCCTTGTGTGCGGAAGGTCCTTAGTTGTAAGCGCATCGCACTCATGAAGAGGATCGCCGCCGACTTGTCGTGGCCTGACACGGCCCTCTTCGATGACCTGGCTGCCGGCTTTAAGCTAACGGGATACTTGGGGCGTACGGGTGTATTCGCTAGTGATGTCAAACCTGCCACGATGGACCTTGACGATTTCTGGGCAAGTGCTCCCTTCCGGAGGGAAACCCTGCTTGAAAAAGTCAGAGCCCAGAAGGACCATGACTATGCCGAAGAGCTTTGGGACATGACGCTTGAGGAGTCTAACAGATCGGGGAAGTGCTGGCTTGACGGCCCGATCGACGTTGACTCTTTGGGGGACAAGTTCCCTGAAGGCTGGAACGCCTGCCGGCGTTTTGCAGTCTGGCAGGGCAAGTGGCGTGCGATCGATGACTTCTCGGAAGCCGCTGTGAACTCTTGTTTCGGATGCTTTGAACGTGTTACTCTCAAGGCCCTCGATGAGATTTGCTGGCTGTGCATGCAAGTTTGCCGTGCGGCAAAATCTTCAGGATCCCTCGATCTTGAGCTCAGCACCGGTGAGAGACTCAAGGGACCCCTCCATACGGCTTGGAAGGACCCTGACCGTGTCCGTCCTCACTGCAAAACTTACGATCTTCAAGCTGCCTACAAGCAGCTCGCACTGCACCCTAGCGAGAGGCCGAAATCCGTTATCCTGCTCAGGGAGCCGGGCTCCCGCGCCGTCAAGGCCTTTGTGTGCAACACTCTTCCTTTCGGAGCTTCAGCCTCGGTCATGCAGTTTAACAGGGTTGCATTATTCCTGCAGAGGGTTCTTTGGGATTTGAGGGTGGCCGTAACTTGCTACTATGACGATTTCCCGACAATGACCCCTTCGTTCTTGTCTGGCGGGACTGACAATGCAGTTCATGCCCTCATGGACCTGTTTGGCTTCTCCTTGTCCGAGAAAGAAAAGCCGTTCTCGTGCACTGCAGAAACGCTGGGTGTCGTGCTGGATACCTCCGATCCTGACATGGGCCGCATCTTCGTATCGAACAAGCCCGAACGAGCTGCCATGCTTGAACAGTCCTTGGGCCGCATCCTTGAAAAGGGCCAGGTAGACACGCGGGAGCTGCCATCCCTTCTTGGAAAGCTTCGCTTCGCAGATGCTCAGCTGCTTGGTCGCACAGGGCGATTGGCCCTGGCCGACCTTAGGCTCTTCGGTGACAGAGGGGGTGTCTTGAACCTTACGGATACTCAATCGAATGCCTTGGCTGTTCTGAGGGCAAGACTTCTTGCGAGCAGGCCGCGTGCCATTGTGACGAGCCCTGCCTCGAACCCAGTCCTCATCTTCACAGATGGCGCATGCGACCCTTGCGAGGGCGGCTTCAGTACTGGGGTCGGGGGGGTTCTCTTTGTCCCCGGCGAGGGTGTTGCTAGGGCTTTCGGTTGTAGGGTTCCTAGCAAGCTCGTCAAGCAATGGGCCGAGGGTAGGAAACACATTATAGGGCAGGTCGAGCTTTACGCGGTCGTGCTTGCCAGGATCCTGTGGTCGAGTTACATTGATGGCGAACGATGCATATTTTTCGTCGACCATTCCGGCGTCTTGAGTGCTTGCATCAACTCGAACTCGATCGATGCATCTTGGAGGAGTCTCCTTCTTCACTTGGAGGCCGCCGATGAAGCACGCCCGTGCTTGCCGTGGTTTCATCGTGTACCGAGCCAGAGCAACATCGCGGATCCGCCATCCCGAGGCAGATGGGAGGAGCTGGCATTCCTTGGTCCCGTCACTCGTGACGTGCCGACTTGCTTTGTCACAGGCGCCACTCTTGAAGCAACGTAACGCATAGTCGAGAGGGGGAAGAATATGGTCACGTTGCACTCCATCGTGCGACTGGACTCTGGGGGGGCACTCGTGTGCCTCTGCTTAAGTGGAGGGGCACTCTTAGTGCCCGGTGCACGCCCTGTGCACCTTCGTTTTCCTTGAAAACTTCCCACGACTCTCGGCTGTGCCGTGAAAAGAAGAGTGAGCGTCTTTGCATCAATTTCATATCCTTTTGTATATATTTGGGTCGACCAATATATTTGGTCAACAATTCTTTATATGATGGAATCTGCAATATTTGATCAAGACTCTTATACTTGATTCAAATATGTGATTGTCATGGATGACCGGATCTATAAGCATCACTTCACGCGTGCGTGTCGATGTTTTATAGATCCTAGGTCAAACGAAATTTTGTAAGCAACAAAATTTTGGGCCATGACAATCTTTGCGCTACTCTTAGTAGTGCTTCACAATCCAGACTTTTAACAACTTTCAATGCTGTTGCATGATTTCGTTTCTCATGTCGAGTAACGATTTTTAAACCATGCGGTTAAACGCACACTTGTTCATGATTGAATCTGCAATCATCGAGGCTGTCTCGAGATCGAGCCAGAATTTTTGATCCCACCCAACCCGCCCTGGGGGGGGAAGAATATGGTCACGTTGCACTCCATCGTGCGACTGGACTCTGGGGGGGCACTCGTGTGCCTCTGCTTAAGTGGAGGGGCACTCTTAGTGCCCGGTGCACGCCCTGTGCACCTTCGTTTTCCTTGAAAACTTCCCACGACTCTCGGCTGTGCCGTGAAAAGAAGAGTGAGCGTCTTTGCATCAATTTCATATCCTTTTGTATATATTTGGGTCGACCAATATGTTTGGTCAACAATTCTTTATATGATGGAATCTGCAATATTTGATCAAGACTCTTATACTTGATTCAAATATGTGATTGTCATGGATGACCGGATCTATAAGATGTCTTGACGCCTGTTTCCGTTCTGGGACAACTGCCACGCACCAGAGCAGGCGAGAGACTGTTCGCTGCTGAGGTCCCGGAGTTTCCGCCGGCCTTTGGTGGGGACCCCTGGAGAGGTGCGGCGGCCGCCCTCGCACGCCGACTGGATGACGTCACCCTTTCGGCCCCTGAGAATGGCTGTGGCGATATCCTCCTCGCGACTGATGGCTCTAGCAAGCATCAGGTGGGCTCGGCGGCGGTGGTGCATGGTGATGCTCACTTCGTTGCCACTGACAACAATGAGGACCAGATGCCCTTCACTTGCGAACTCAAAGCCCTGCGACTTGTTTCGGCCGCTTTCCTTCAGGTGACTGTCATCGCTGGGCGCCGCTTCTGTGTGCTGTCAGACTGCCAAGGGGCCCTAGATGCTCTTGAGAACCCTCTTCAATGTGCGCTGCCTCTGCTCGCTGCAGAAGTCTCGCGAAATCTGCAGTCTGCCAGGGCCCTGGGTCACCAAATTGACCTTGCTTGGATACCCTCGCATGGCAAACAACAAAGTTGGAAGCCTCCGGCGAGCTGGAGTTTCTCGGTTGCAGAGTGCCGCGCCTTGAATGATCAAGCGGACAGGGCGGCTGAAACCGCTCGTGAAGCTCATGCTGCCAGGTGTCGGAGGGTCCAGTGGTGGTCCCGGTGGGAGGCTGCAAAAGAATGGGAAATGGCTGCCATCAAACACTCAGCTGCTGCAGCTGGTGCTTTGGATGCCCATTACCGCCGGGCCATGGAGCCGGCCGCCGCAGACCAAGATGGTGTAGGATAGTCCTTTGGTTTCCGGGCCTTTTGGGTTGAGGTTTGCCTTAGTCCCCGATTCCCGTTATGCCAAAGCCGTGACCCTTGCGTGGACTCAACCTGTTTTCACGACTGCCAGTGATACGTGCCTTGTGGAGCTTGCGCCTGTCTTCGGCTTCAATGGCGAGGTCTTAAGCTTGTGCTTCCCTCTTGTGCTACTGACGCTTGCGTGGCTGCACCGAAGCCTGTCTTCGTGTGCGCCTGCTTTCTTGACTGCCGGTGATAAGTGCCTTGCAGAGTTGCGCCCTTCTTCGGCCTCAGCGGCGAGGTCTTAAGATTGTGCCCCTCTCTTGTGCTACTGCCTTTTGCGCGGCTGCACCGATACCTGATGTCGTGTGCGCCGGACCTGCTTTTTACAACAGTGTTCTGTACCCTGCTGGGTCGTGCCTGTCTTGGCGCCCTTCTTTGCCTCGGCGCTGAGGCCACGAACGGATGCCCCTCATCGGCGACTTTTGCGCGAAACTGACACTCTCTTGAGTGCCGCTGCAGCTGCTTGGGCATGTGCTCTTGTGCTCAGGCCCGCAACAGCCGAACACCAAAGTGCCACTGCGGTCGCTGGACCTTCACTCTTGTGTTGAGCCCGCGACAGACCTGAGCTCCTGCCTAGGGTAGGGTAGGGTAGGGTAGGCCGCAGACACGCGATCAGGCGCCTTGCCTGTCGCGTTGAGTAGTTCGCAGACTCGTGATGGCCGTGTCACGACTAGGAGCCCTGTTTCACTGGTTCACAAGAGGAGAGTCGTTGAGTGGGACTTCGGCAAGCTCATGCTCTTCCAGGTGTGCATATGTTTCTGAAGCCTTGTGGCCTTTCGCTTGCTGTACAGCTTTCGCGATCGCTCTTGGCTTCTGGTGATTCTCACCCGAAGCGACGTGCTGGTGTTGAGGACTTGCTGGGGCGAGCCTCTGCACCCAAAACTACCGAGAGGTGAAAACCATTGTTGCGCTTTCGGACTGTCAGTCGGCGATTGCTGCTCTGGATGCGCCCATGTCTTGTTGCCTCCCCACTTGGGCGAAGGAAGCCGCCGCGCTGAAGAAAGAACTTGAGGATCGTGCCCTGAGCCTGCTGCTTGAATGGGTGCCCTCGCATGGCAAGCATAGCACTTGGGTCCCTAACTCCAAGTTGGACCCTGTGCAATGCCGGTTCTTGAATGATAAGGCTGATCATGAGGCCAACTTGTGTCGTCTGCGACGTGCTTCGGGCTCCTTGAGGGAGCAGTGGCACGCTCAGAGAGAAGTTGCTTGTAAGTGGGAGACGGATGCAATACATGCTTCTGCTGCGTCTGCCAAGATCCTGCAGCAGCACATCGCTGATTCTTTGCAGCGGGTGCAGCCTGCACTGAGTGAGCCGGGCTAACTTGTGGCCCTGCTCCCTGAGTTCCTGCCTAGGGTAGGGTAGGGTAGGCCGCAGACACGCGACCAGGCGCCTTGCCTGTCGTGTTGAGTAGTTTGCAGACTCGTGATGGCCGTGTCACGACTAGGAGCCTTGTTTCACTGGTTCACAAGAGGAGAGTTTTTGAGTGGGACTTCGGCAAGCTCATGCTCTTCCATGTGTGCATATGTTTCTGAAGCCTTGTGGCCTTTCGCTTGCTGTACAGCTTTCGCGATCGCTCTTGGCTTCTGGTGATTCTCACCGAAGCGACGTGCTGGTGTTGAGGACTTGCTGGGGCGAGCCTCTGCATCCCAAACAAAGTCATGAGGTGAAAACAGGCTTTACTGGGCTTGCCCAGTTGAACTGTTGAAACCTTCGAATTTTGGGCGGCCGGGCGGGAAAGATGATTTTAGTTTTGAGTTTACGAGTATTCGTTTTTAGTCCACAATTTCTCAGTACGTTTCAGCTCCTTTTCAGTTTTCAGTGAGAATCCATCCTTTCGTGATATTTAGGCTCAGTTTTAGTTTTTGGTACCCACCCAACCCACCCTGTATGGGAAAGGGTCGGACCAACCTTGGTCTCACCGGGGGGCGAGGCTTCGCACACCAGGTGTGCCTGCCTTCCCTCCGACGAGGGGACATCCACCACCATCCGGGAAAAAGAGTCTTCGTCCGAGTGCCTGAATGATTGACTCTATATTCTCTTTTATATATTTATCTCCGACGGGCATATATTCGTCCACTTTTGAAAGAGCGAATTTTATAAGGTTTAGCGTTCGGCTCAAACCTCAAAACAAGAAGGTGAAAACAGGACTCCCAGGTTTTTGCATCCAATCTGCAGGCAGTGCTTTCCAGAGGCGAGGTGAGGGATCGATAGGCTGGCTGGCTGGAGTGCCGCCATGCGAATTTTGTGAGCCTCTCATCGCGAGAGCCCGCGAAGGCGGGATGAATATGCGCACGGAATACAAGGAGCGCTGCACTTGGCATTGCGTGGTCTCAACAGTTCGGAGTCGCAAATGCCGCCTTGTGATTTCAAGTGAGAGTCGCTCGAGTTACTTGAAGGTAGGCCAGTTCTGAAGGAGCGAGCCATGGCTTCCGCATACTCGGAGTCCGAGCCAGTTCTGGTGTCCCGTCTCTCGAAGGCGGGTTTTGAGCAGGCTGAGCGCGATCTCATCCTGAAGCACGTTAAGAGCTTGAAGCAGCTGGCCTTCGTGAGCTCCTTTGCTCCGGGGGCTGCGGACGAAGGTCCGTTGATCGAGGCCCTTAAGACGATGCTTGGAAAGGACCCGGAGATGAATCAGAAGGCAGCTTTCAGAGCAGTTTTCCATGAGGCATATGCCATTGTCACTTCGGAGATGCGACAGCAAGTTGAAAGGGTCGAGGAGCCGACAGTTCGTCATTTGAGTCAGCCCGAGAGGGCTGAGAGAATTGAGCGACAGCGTTCACAGTTGACTGGCATCACGATAAAGGGTTCCTCGGAGCCATCAGAGGCCCTGGTCGACCTTTGCGTCGGTCAGTATGAGGCCGATGTGATCCAGTATGTCCCTTGGTCTAAGTGCACGTCGCGGGAACAGGAGCTCCTGGGCGACGGTAAGAAGGACCTGAAGCTTTCGATAGACGGCGAGAGTGGTAAGCTCAAGGTAGAAAACAAGGCCAAGGATCAGGTGGCTGACACGTCCACTGAAGTGATGCTTCTGCAGGCTCTGCAGAGGCGTGCTCTTGCATTCGATCAGGCTAACATTGTTTCTTTCACGAAGCTTGACATGTGGCATCAAAAGTTGATGAAGGCGAGGCTGACTGCGCCCCCGCCGGGTTACCAGCAGGTTACCTTCGCTCAGTTGCAAAATGCAGACTCGAGGCTCTTTTTGGAGCTTCAGGACCATACGCGCACAGGCATTCAGTCGGATGCCAAAGGCCGTCCGATCGATGGGATCATAGATTCTGTCAGCTGCATGCATGAGGTGGTTTCGCTGATGCAGCCGCTCCAGGGCGGCCCCTCGTCTTCGTACGGTCCCAGTGAGCCTGCTCGTCTGCGAGAGTCGCCGTACAAAGGTAAGGGCAAGGGCAAAGATGGCAAAGGGAAGAAGCGCTTCGTTGCCATGCCAAGCGAGCTTCGTGGGTGCAATTCGCACACCGCGAAAGGGCGCCCAATCTGCTATGCCTTTAACCTGGGGTCATGCCCGAACAAGGTGACCGGCAATAAATGTGAGAAGGGATTGCACATCTGTGCAGTCCCGAAGTGCGGCATGAACCACGCCGCTGTCAAGTGTCCCAAGAAGCCGAAAGATGGCGAGCAGGCGGGCGCTTGACTATCAAGTTCAACCCCGGCCCCGGGTGCAAAGGGGTCGGCGGCAGGGTCTGGGGGTGGCGAAGGCCATTCTCGAGCAATCCAGCAAGTGCTTACGGCCCATCCCGAAGGGGATGAGCCTCTTTTGAGTGCGCCCGAAGGGGCCCAAGCAGTGTCATTTGAAGGGCAAGGATCGAAACTCGATCCGAAAGTGCATGCGGACTCTTATGCTGAGGAGCTTCTGTCTTTGGGCAGGGATCCCACGGCCCAGGAGTTAATTCGTTTGTTTGACATGCTGCCTCAGGAGCCGCTTTTGAGCAATACTCGTAACGATGGAGCCGTGGCCTTCTCGACTGGTGCCTATGTGAAGGGGCCGCTGCTCGGTCTCAGGAGCAACTGCAACAAGCATCCGGCGGCTTCGAGGGTTTTCGCTCAGGCAGTGCAACGCGCTGCCCCAGGGATGCAATTTTCTACTCTGAGTGTGTTTTCAGACCTTAAGACGGAGCCTCATGTCGACCGCTTCAACTCTCCTTTCCCGAACATTCTTGTGCCACTCAGCAATTTTCAGAAAGGCGAGGTCTGGGTCGAGTCGGCTCAGGGCGATTTTCCTCTTGAGGTCGATGGTGTTACGAAGCGTGGCATCTTGATCGATGTTGCCTCCGGACCGAAGGCCTTCTATGCTTGCAGCCATGTGCACGCTACACGGCCGTGGAGCGGTCGACGCGTGGTCATAGTTGGGTTTTGCGTTGCTAGGGTCCAGGAGCTTGATGTTGAATGTCGGGCGCGGTTAGCTGAGCTGAGCTTCCCTGTTCCCCAGACGGCGCCCAACTTTAGTCCGGATTTGATCGAAGTCGGGGGAACCTTTCATGATCTCAGAAGTTCTCAAGTGGATGAGGCATGTGATGCCCTCCCGGCTCAACTGCAAGCCGCTTCTTTGATGTGCCTTGACCTCTTTTGCAATGCAGGTGAGTTTGGAGCCTCCTTGAGGGCCGCCGGATTCGATGTGCTCGCGGTTGAACAACCGCACCTAAAGCAGAGAGCTCTGATCAGCGTTGTGTCGTTGGATGCTCAGGAAGGCTGCCTCATGGGATTTTCTAGTTAAGGTTGTACTCGCTAGGAGGGTCGTCTTTGTGCTTGCTGCCCCCACTGTGGCCGCTTCTGCGGGCGAACTTCCAGCAGGTTTTGCCCAGGTGTCGTCCGAACTCAGCTCTTTCTTGGCTTTCCTCGCCACTCTTGATATCGGATGGTGCGTCTTGAATCCGCTGACAAGCCGACTGTGGTCGACTTTGGCTCTGCCTGCCTCGCAAGCTGTGAAGTTCGACCTACGTGCCCATGGTGGCGAGCAGCACCGCCAGATGCTGTTGCATACTAACGTCCAGACTTTAAGTGCTCTCGCTGTGTCGGCCGACGACAATCAGGAACCTTCTAGAGCCTTCCAGTCAGTGACTTCACTGCGGGCCCGGCCGCGTTTGTTGTGCAGTCGGCTCGCCGCCCAGGTAGTTGTTTTCGCGGGTTCACTAGGGTTTGCTGTGTCCCCTGATGCAGTCAAGCCATCTGCCAATCATCGATCCTCCATTGCAGTGCAGCGCCAGCCCAAGGTCTCCAAGGTGCCGCCGCTCATGCCCGAATACAAGCATCGGGTTACTTTGCAGGTTCCGTCCATGGACGCTCTACGTTATGATGCGAAAAACTCCTTGACGGCCGCTTTTCAGTCGGTGCCTGTCGGTGCCCGCATCCTTCAGGTGGTGCCTGTGCAAGGGGGCGAGGGTCCTTCAGGTTCGGGCTTTAGGGTTACGTTTGGGGTTTACAGGACCGAGGATGAGTTCGTCAGGACAGCAGTTACTCTATCTCATCCTTTCGACCTGTCTTCTGCAGTGCCGGACGAGATGCTCGAGATTCTTGCGTTCACCCTCACGAAAGGGCCCTTGGCAGTCATGAGGCATCGCTTGGACACCTTGACGAAATGGAAAAAGTGGTCTCAAGAACTTCGTGGAGCCGAGGCCTCCTTGCACGCGAGGCTTCACCCAGATGTCGAGAAGATAGTTGCCCGCAAAAACTTGACCCTCCTGCGGCGTGTGGCCGAGGATTTACAGTGGCCTGATGCCACGATAATCGACGACATCGAGAATGGCTTTGAGCTCGTGGGTGAGGCCAAGCTTACAGGCATCTTTGAGGTGGACCCGAAACCCTCTTCGATGTCCGTTGACGAGTTGCTTGAGCACGCTAAGTTCTTGAAGCCAGCCCTGTGGGGCAAGGTGTCGGGCGATGCGAGCCACCCGGATGATCAGGAGCTCTGGGATCTCACTTGTGCTGAAGCTGACGAGAAAGGTTGGTTGCATGGACCCTACACGTGGGAGCAACTGCAGAACATGTTTGACTCCAAGTGGATACCTGTGCGCAGATTCTCCATCAGACAAAAGAACAAATTGCGGCCCATCGACGACCTGTCCGAGAATGCCGTCAATCAAGCTTGGGCAGTAATGGAGAGGATCGGTTTGCGTGCGCTTGATGAAATCACTTGGGCATGTATGGCTTTGATGAGGACCAGCTTGGGGCGACGCGAGGTTTTCTTCCGGAAGTCCGACGGCTCCGTCTTGTCGGGGCCTTTGCATTCGTATTGGCACCAAGACGCTCGCCGCTGCTCGCCGGTCTTGAAGACTACGGATCTGCGCTCAGCTTATAAACAGTTCGCTATACGGCCGGAACACCATCGGATGTGCGTGGTGACCTTGAAGGATCCGGCGGACGGCTCAACAAAGGGGTTCGTCTGCCGCGTTTTGCCGTTCGGGGCCCTGGCCTCGGTCGGTCAGTTCAACAGGTTTTCGAGGTTGTGGCAAAGGATTCTCTGGGAGCTGAAGCTCGCTGCGGCGAGCTACTTCGACGATTTTCCGTCGGTGGAGGTCAGGGCCCTTGCCGAAAACCATGACTCCTCCGTGAAGGCAGCGTTGCGCCTTTTTGGAGTTGACTGGGCGAGCGACAAGGACCTTCCCTTCTCACCGACGGCCGATGTATTGGGCGTCCGACTGGATGCGACGGATATGGAGGGCGGAGTGCTGAGGGTCAAAAACAAGCCAGAAAGATCCAAGGAAATTGCCTCTTCGATTGATAAGATCCTTGCGGATGGCTGTATTGATCCGAAGCAGATCCCCTCTTTGTTTGGCCGGATACAGTTTTCGGAAAGTCAGTTGATGGGCCGACAGGGGCGCCTGGCTTTGGCTCAGATTCGCTGGCTTTCGAGTGCTCGTCACCGTCATGTTCTATCTTCCCTGGACGCCACTGTCTTCAGAAGCTTGAGGGAGAGGATGCTTGAGGGCAGGCCGCGCGAGATCCAGGTTCTTCCCATTGGCGGCCAGACTCTTGTTTTCACTGACGGTGCATGCGACAAGCTGGGGGACAAGTTTAGCTGCTCAATCGGAGGTGTCATGTATCGGGTGCTTCCAAATGGTTTTCGCGAGACGAGGGCGTTCGGGTGCTACCTGGACGAATCGGTCGTCGAGCAATGGGCGGGACTGGGCAAGAGACACCTGATAGGTCCTACCGAGCTTTTCGCGGTGGTGGCGGCCAGACACGTCTGGAAAGATTTCCTGAATGATCAGAGGGTCGTCTTCTACGTGGATCACAGTGGTGTTTTGTCTGCGATGATCAAAGGGTCTTCCCGCGATGATCTCTGGAGGAGCATCTTGCTTCACTACGAGTGTGCCGACTCGATGGGGCCAGCGATCTCGTGGTTCGCTCGGGTCCCGAGCAAGTCGAACCCTGGCGATGGGCCTTCGCGGTCCGACTGGAGATTCCCTATTTTCGGCGAGTACTTCGAAGATCGGATTGTGTGCTTCATAAGCGGCAGAGTTCTCAAAGTCACGGGGCAAAGAGTGCAGGGGTGAAAGATGCCCCATAACTTTTCCACGAGCCCGGAGGGGCGGTTGGCGAAGTGCCAACATGTGTTGGGATCCCGACGGGGATCCGGAGCATGCACTTCTTTCCCCGAGAGGCTTTGCCAAACCGAAAGAAAAGAACCTGTTGAGCGTAGTTTGTCCGAGTGCTGCTTTTTCTATGAGACTCGTAAGCTCTCTAACAGGCCTCATTTCCACTTTATATATATATATATGCGATTGAAAGACATATTCGAGTGGACTTAAAGAAAGGCCCGCATGATACATGAAGCCACATTGGTTATAAGCCGTTTTTGGGACGCTAAAAATCACAAACTAGTCCCATAAGGCTTTATAACCTTTTTGGTAGGTTTCGAAAGTTTTGAAGAAGTTTTTCGAAACCGCTTCATGTGTCATGATATTCCATTTGAACTTTTATGAATCTTTGTTGTTCCGCGCATGCTCAAACATAGGGTGGGTGGGCGGGAACCTTCCGTGCAGCAAAGTTTGTACCCACCACTCCCACCCAAACTTTGCGGGGTGAAAGATGCCCCATAACTTTTCCACGAGCCCGGAGGGGCGGTTGGCGAAGTGCCAACATGTGTTGGGATCCCGAGGGGGATCCGGAGCATGCACTTCTTTCCCCGAGAGGCTTTGCCAAACCGAAAGAAAAGACCCTGTTGAGCGTAGTTTGTCCGAGTGCTGCTTTTTCTATGAGACTCGTAAGCTCTCTAACAGGCCTCATTTCCACTTTATATATATATGCGATTGAAAGACATATTCGAGTGGACTTAAAGAAAGGCCCGCATGATACATGAAGCCACATTGGTTATAAATGAGTCTGAACACCCGTCCGAATTAAAGGCCTCACTTAGGTAACTTATAGTCCGGTCAGTCTTACCAGCCACTACAAGCTGCGTTGATTCTTGCAAAGCCTTGCTTGCTGCGTCTGCAGGGATTCTCTGCACGGGCCCAATAGATTCGCTTATAGACATAGAAGACCGACAAAATGATCGAATCCAGAACAGAAGTATCCCAAACACATCCCCAGAAGTCCCTGCTCCTTAGGGTCTGGCCGTGTCTTTGCAGGATGGCTGCTACAAGCAGGCGAAAGGCGATGTTGGTGAGGTACACACGTCCGAGCGAGCTTGCTGGAACTGCTGGCGGCAGCCTGAGTCACAGCAATATCTCAGCCCCAAGCCCGCCAAAATTCATGCTTTAGTGTTGATCTTCTCCCTCAAACTGCCATGCAAGTCTGTCTCTGCCAAACATGCCAACACGGCGGAGAGAGAGAGAGAGAGAGAGAGAGAGAGAGAGAGAGAGAGAGAGAGAGAGAGAGAGAGAGAGAGAGAGAGAGAGAGAGAGAGAGAGAGAGAGAGAGAGAGAGAGAGAGAGAGAGAGCCGAAACTGTGTTCATGACTCATTCTTCACCCCTCATACGCCCGTTAACACAACGGGGGGGCCATTGGCCCGAGGGCGTTGACCCGCCCTCATGCCCGGGAGAGAGAGAGAGAGAGAGAGAGAGAGAGAGAGAGAGAGAGAGAGAGAGAGAGAGAGAGAGAGAGAGAGAGAGAGAGAGAGAGAGAGAGAGAGAGAGAGAGAGAGAGAGAGAGAATAAACGGAATCGCGTGATTTTACCTTCCCAGGGCTTTCTATGTCTCACGAGGCCCGGAAATGTCACGGCACCCATGCAACCGAACTTTCGCAAGACAGCGTCGATTCGGCTGCACGTGGTGCGCAAGTTCGCGTGCTTCCCCGGGGCTTTGTGTCTAGCACGACGCGCGGAAATGTCACGGCACCCATGCAACCGAACTTTCGCAAGACAGCGTCGATTCGGCTGCACGCGGTGAGCAACTTCGCCTACTTCTAAGAGCAAGCTTCAGAGCCCCAGACGCCGTAAGAAGTCCTCCATCTGCTGATCGGGGTCTTCCGCCCATCCGCGAGCGTTCCTTTCCGAAGAGGAGCAGTGCACATCGAAGTTAGGGAGGCTGGCGTAGTACTGCATGCACTGCACACAGCCAGCGCTGGCCGCATATAGAAATTTGTACTCCAGTTGACGATCTTCATCCAGATGTCCATGCCTTTTTTGCCAGCGGGGGCAATGAGGCTGGTTTTCACAAGGTGTGTACTCCACCGATGTATCACTACTGTCACTAGACATGCTGCTTGACGACGAGGTATCGCACGGAACTTCGCCTGTCTCTGCGGCCGTAGGGCTTGGTGACCTCGGAGTGGAGGAAGGGCCAGGGCCTCCGGCCGCAGTGCTGGGTGTCCGCGAAGGAGCACTTGCCCATGTAACACCGGAGCCCGGTGTCCGTGAAGCAGAACTAGGACCACAGCCTTCGTTCGCAACGTCCGGCGGCGACGGGGGTGGCGGGGGGACATTTCTTGCCCAATGAATCGAAATGTCTGAGAGGAAATGCCAGCGCCAGCAGCAGCAGCACAGCCTCCGCCCGCGGTGTTGGATTGCCGCGGAGGGGCTTTAGGCCAAACTTGCCGCGGGGAGGCACTTGGCCACGCTGAAAACGGTTTTTGCCGAATCTCGCACCATCGCTCAAACCTTTGCATCTCAGTGTCGAGCCATGTCTGGAACCCTGCATCTGCGGCTTCGTTCCGAAGACCGTCTCTCCGTACCATGCGATGCTGGTTCCTCACAGTGTGCACGTCTATCCATTTAGCACCGTGAGAATCCAGCCGCAATTTTGTTAAAAAATCACCGAAATCAGCCATCCAGCAACTGAGCTTTCGCGAGACGGCGCCGATTCAGCGATTCCCCGGGAAACTATGAACGTCCACGGAGCCAAAAGCTTCGTTGACCGACCATCATGTCGCAGGAGGCAAGTTACCATGTGCAAAGACTGCATGCTTCAATAGGGCTCGGGCACCAAAGCATAGATGGACGTCGCCGTAGAGCGCGAGCAATCACCTGATGCAAGGCGGCTGCGTAGAGGCATTGCAACAACTCCAAGCAGTGATGCTTCACAAATTGAATCACAACCTGACGTAATTGCTATAATACTCGATTCGGCCTCCCATGTTGCAGAGGAGGACACTCGGGTGCCGACCTCGGACCCAGCCAGCACGTTAGCCCATTTGCCTGGCTGTCATCACCAGGTGTCCGCTCTGGTGGTTGGCCCCGAGTCCTCGTTCGGTTCCGTCTTCCACGGTCCCCCAAAGCGACCCCATGCCCGGCCATCGGCATGCAAGCGCGGCTGGTGAATCAAAACTGGACACACCGCGACTTGTTGGTAAGGTCGATATGACAACAGAGACACTACAATCTTCAAGAACTAGTTCGTCGGTAAGGCCGCTGAACAAAGCAAGCGAATCAATCAACGGGTCTCCCTCACCGGATCCGCCGGCGAGGTACGGACGCACCGGCCCTCTGTTCAGGCCACCCCCAGCGGGCGCATTAGCGCATCGCCCCGCTGTCATACCCCTCGGGCTTTGGGGCGTTGGCCTCAAGGGTGGCCGCCACGAGTGGCCGCTCAGACATCAGTGGCGAAGCATGTAGCTCCGGGATTGGATCACCGGCTTCCACCAACGACCCAACTTGGTGGAACCCGGCAGGTCTCTAGGGCCCCCCTCGGCCAGCCCGCTGTTCAGGTTTAGGTCAAGGCATGCGAGGAGGCTCATCAAAAGCAAGCGCAGCACGCCACTAAACGCAGGTATCAGTAACCCCAAAGCAATCCAAGCAACAGAGCAATCCAATTGCAAGACGCGGAGTCTCTTTTTTTTTATCGGCGGACCTGATCAAGTCTCGGCACTTAACGTCCTCAGGATTTCTTCGCCGTCTTCAAGACATGGCGAACCAAAGCAAGTGTACTCGGAAACCTCTTCTTAGGTCCGGGCTTTTCCTTCACCAGGCGTTTCCCGTGTTTCTGAAGGAAAGCAAGTATGAGCGAAGCACGATTACAGGTGTAGAAGTCATCACCCAAAATTCGAGTGCCTTCCATGCTTTGCGTGAAGCGACGTGTAGGACTGGGGAGAATCTTCACTCGAACTCCATCAGAATCTTCATCCATCATGCGCAAACGTCTCCTGGGCCTCTTCGGTGCCGATTCCGGTGGTGGACGAGGAGCAGCGTCCTTGACTGGTGACTGAATGAACTGCGAGCTGATCTCTGCCTCATCTTCCATGAGTGCAGAATCCGGATCAGAATAAACCCCCGGCGAGATGCAATGAGACGTCGCATTCGAAGAAAGATCGTTGTTCATGAACTCACTCGTGTCGTCCGCATAGACTGACGAAGAACAGCTCATCTGCTCAGAATAAACCTCCGCCGAGATGCAATGAGACGTCGCATTCGAAGAAAGATCATTGTTCATGAACTCACTCGTGTCGTCCGCATAGACTGACGAAGAACAGCTCATCTGCTCCGAAATGAGAAGTGTGCGTTCGCGCATGCGATGGCGTTGTCGTGTGCGGCGACAGCGAGCGACCTGCGTTTTGACGCGAGCGAAACCTTAGGCTCATACTCTTTCCTCCCTTCAAATTTTATCATTTAATTTTCGGCACTTGTGCTCGTCTTGCTTTCAACGTGCCTTTGTTCGTTGACATCCTCAGCATGACGAAGTTTTGGGCCCAAGGTCAGCCGAAAATTTCCGTTCAGGCTTTCTAGAGGCCTGTAATTCTGTCTAACGGGTCTGAGTCCTCTGTACCTCGGTGTTGCTCTTAGAGCACCGTGCAAGACTGCCCTGGTGGGGCAGTCGGATGGAAGAGGCCGCTCCGGCAGGTCTCGCTGCGTCCGAGGCGTCTGAGCACCCTAGCAGCCTCTCGAGTTTTGAGGCTTTGTCCAGCCATCTTTATCGCTTGCAGATTTCGCACGACCTCCTTGAGTCTCGTGTCCGCGTGGCCGAGGATCGCTTAGATTGGTTGGACAGGCAGGCAGCAAGCTCAGCCGCTCGTATCTCCTGGCTTGAAACTTTCATTGCACATTTGCGGCATCTGTTTCGCCGCTTCATTTGAGTTCTGCTTGCGCCTGCGCGCGCTTCTGCAGCGTTTGGGCCTGCACTGGCTTTCTGTGAGCTGTAGTATTTCTGCATACCTTCTGTGCGCGGCAGCCCATGGACAGAGCCCTGACCCGGCGAGCCGTCTGGGTCCATGACAGTTTTGCATTGCATCGGCCGCAGACCTCTTCCCGCACTGCTGAGTTCGCTCATCGAGTCGCTTTCGACAAATTTTGTGAGGACATGCAGACACAGCAGGAACCGCTGGCCGAGCAGTTGGCCCGAGAAGCCTGGGCTCGCCATGACATCGACAACCTCGATGCTGCTTCTTTGACGCCTTCGGAATCTGGAGATGTCGGGGAAGAACGCGACCCTCACACCGTCTTCGCTGGTCTATCCGATGAACGCAAAGAAGCCTTGGCTGCCGGATCCAGCTGGGAGGCACCGACCAGGATGCATCGTGCTCCCTCTGAGCCGCCGGCTACAGATTCGGACCGGGGCCATGGTGATTGGTTGCGCGGCCTCAGTGGCCGTCTCGATGACGTTGAGAGATTTTGCGGGTCAATCATCGACCCCCGGTTCTCTCGTAGTCTTCATGCTCGCTTACTCCGAGTGGAGCGCCTGCTGAACGTCCCTGAGCAGTAGCTGCGTGCAGCTGGCAGACCGCACTTGCTGGCGACCATATCACACTGAGTGCACCGGATCTCTGGTCCAACCCTGAGAAATCCGGCCGTGCGCCTTTGCCTTTCAGTTTCAGTGCACGTTCCTGCATGCGCTTGCACATGTGCTTGTGGTGAGCTGTCCTGTCTTGATCTGAGCGCCTTGCTTTCCGCCAATATTCTCAGCGGGGGATTCAAGCCCCATTGGCTCTGCTCGGTCGCCGCTCACTTTCGAGGTTCGGATGTCTGCAATGAGTCCTTTTCTAGCTTTGCTTGAGCAGGCCAGATCTCTTGATGTACTGAGGTGGCCCATTTCTCAGCAACCCGGGCTGTTGAAATGTACTCCTGGTAAGCTGTCACTCAGTCCTTGTTGCAGGTTGCTGTCGACATCGTGAGCTTCAGGCCGCTCTTATCCTGGCAAGCCGGTGCCAGAGTGTGGCAAATCTTTCGGGAGGTCGATCCGTCTGGTGACCGACGTCGTGGACTTCAGGCTGCCTTTCGCCCGGCAAACTGGTGCTGGGATGTGACGAGACCAGTCTAGAAGGTCGGGTCCTCCTGGCTGCGGCGACTTCCGCAGTCTGACTCTCAGCAGTTCCACTCCCAGCAAACTGGGCTGGGAATCGGCATGACTGCTTTGCGGCAGGAGACAACTCTCCTGTTGAAGCCGCGATCTCCTCAGTAACCGGTCTGAGCGAGTCATCCGATTCGATGTTCCGAATCTCAGCAAACAGGAGTTGGGAATCTTCGTCACTGCCCCGCGGCAGTTGGCGTTCTCCTGCCGAGCCGTGGGCTCCTCAGCAACTGGGTTGAGTGAGTCACCTGGCGTGGCGGTCTCGCAGGTCTGAGACCCTAGTCCTCCAGACTGCCAAGTCGTGGGCTCCTCAGCAACTGGGTTGAGCGAGTCACATGGCTTGGCGGTCTCGCAGGTCTGGGACTCTGGTTCTCTGGGCCGCTCGAAGGCTTTGATACCAATCATGATATGCGTCGGCTCGCAGTGGCCGACTCAAGTTTCTTATCATGCCTTATGCGACTTTCGTGGCAGCCCTTTCAGGTCGGCGATCCATGCTTCGGCCCGTGATCTGCCTCATGTTGGACGCCTGCCGTGAGTACCGGGACTTGTTAGCTCCAGCCATAACTCGGTTCAGCACCAAAACGTGTGTGCCGTTGAGATGCTCCGGATTGCATTGTTTGCTACACTGCTTCCATTCGACAGCGGGGTTGCCAGCATCGCCTTGTTGTGCACAGGTTCCAGAGCTTAACTGCACAGTGTAGTCGATCGGTGTTCGCCCTAGCGACATGGACTCCTTGACTGATGAACAACGGGAGTACCTTGCCACACTGAATCGTCGTGGCCCGGCTAGGCTGCGTGGCGCCAGTCGCTCTCGCAGCCGCGACCGCCGTGCCATTGCTTCTTCGGCCGATGAGCGCTCTCGCCCTTGGCGTGCACCGAGTCCAATGCTGGTTCAAGGACCACCTCCTCTTGCGGAACAGGTGCGGCTCATACAGAGCAGTATTGAGATGATTGAGCGCCGCCTGACCAACCTTAACATTGGTCAAACGCAGCTGCTCATGGTGCTTGGACACCACCCAGACTTTGGGGTTCCGTTCGGGGCCATCGCTGAGTTTGTTGACACCATGAAGGCCACCGTTCAGGACATCAAGGCGTCGATTGAGGATCTTCGCGCTAATTCTGCAGAGCAGTGCATGCTTCTTAGCAGCCGCCTTGACCGCCTCGAGGAACTGGTTCAGGCTCGCACGTGACTGGATCGCCTGGTGCCGACTTAGCTCTGTTGTGACAAAATGTGCCACTCAAACCTAAGTGAGGGTTGTCTAGGTGCCGGTGAAATTTCATGCTTCCATCATGCGTGCGTGAATGGGTTTTATTTCCCGCCGAAAGTGTAGACAAAGTTTTGTCGTAAAAGGAAAACAGTGTTTTCACTTGTGTGTTGTGAACACTAGACAAACTTTGCCGTGCAGCTTTCGGCTTGAAGTGGATCTGTGATCCAAAAGTTTTTATCTCTTGTGCTGGTGGGCTAGTAGTCCCTTTGATCTAAAGTGATCTTCTAGTAGAGTAGCGGCGGGCTAGTAGCCCCTTTGATCCAAAGTGATTTTCTGGTAGAGTAGCGGTGGGCTAATAGCCCCTTTGATCCAAAGTGATTTTCTGGTAGATTAGTGCTGGGCTAGTAGCCCCTCTGTCGGGCTGGTAGTTTCTGTAGTGCCATGGACGGTGCCGTAGCAGCGCTACTGGCAGGCAGGCAGCAGTGCTGCCCATGCCTTTCATCCGAAACTTCAGGGCAGTGCCCCGAAGCTTGGGACCCTCATGCGGTTTGCTCACTGTTTAGTAAGCGGTGTTGTGCTGCTCGGTGTCGCTCTGCAGCGGCACTGTTGGTGGTTCTGCAGTTCGGCTTCTGCAAGCAGCAGTGCTGCACGTAACCAGGCAGCAGTGCTGCCGATGCCTAGTATCATACGCCTTAGGTCAGTGCCCTGAGGCTTCAGGTTCATGTTTTTCGTTCTGCAGGCAGGCTGGCAGGCAGCAGCACTGCCTAAGCCTCGCATCCTCAACCTCGAGGCAGTGCCCCGGGGTTCGTGGCCTCCTTGCAGGCATCGGCTGTTCAGTTAACAGGGTGGTTCTGCAGTGCAGCTTCTGCGTGCGGCCGTGCTGCGAGTAACCCGGTAGCAGTGCTGCCGAGGCCTAGTGTCAAAACTTCCGGTCAGTGCCCCGAGGCTACAGGTTTTGGTTTTCATGCTGCAGGCGGGAAGGCAGCAGCGCCGCCTACGCCTCGCATCCTAAACCCCAGGGCAGTGCCCCGCTGTAAACAGCGTCCTTGCAGCAGTGCTATTGGTGGTTCTGCAGTTCAGCTTCTGCATGCAGCAGTGCTGCAAGTAACCAGGCAGCAGTGCTGCCGATGCATAGCATTATAAACCTCAGTGTCCCGAGGCTCCAGGTTCATGTTTTTGGTGCTGCAGGCCGGCAGGCAGCGGCACTGCCTACGCCTCGCATCCCAACGCCCAGGGCAGTGCCCCGAGGTCTGAAGCCCCCTTCCCGGCATCTGCTGCTTTGTGACAGTGTCCCTGCAGCCGCGCTGTTGGTGGTTCTGCAGTGCAGCTTATGCATGCAGCAGTGCTGCGAGGAGGCAGGCAGCAGTGATGCCGCTACCTTGCGTCCTTAGCCTCAGGTCAGTGCCCCGAGGCTTCAGGTTCATCCGTTTAGTACTGCAGGCACGCAGGCAGCAGCACTGCATACGCCTCGCGTCCTAAACCCCAGGGCAGTGCCCCGAGGTTTCCGCCTTGCAGGCATCTGCTGGTTAGACAATTGTGTCAACAGTATTGTGGCTGCCCATTGCCACTTCTGCGGCAGCGCCGTTGGAGGTTTTGCGTGCAGGTTCTGCACGAGAAAGTGCTGCGAGCAGGCAGGCAGCAGTGCGGCCGATGCCTGGCATCCTAGGCCTCACGTCTGCACCCCAAGGCTCCAGGTGGTCATGCATTCTTCTCTTGTTGGGTGCACCTGCTGGCTTGTGCCTGTGGCAGTGCTGCAAGCACGCACAAGCAGCGCCGCGTGTGCTTGGCCCCCCCAGTGGGGAGGAAGATGACACGCTAAGTTACAGTCGAGGCTTAAGCACGTCCTTGCCTGAGAAGGGCGCGTCAGAAAGAAAATGGAGGCCAGTGGCTACGCCTACCACAAGGATGGTAAAGACAATGGCACGGGTAGCTTTGTTCGCACCCTCAGCGAAGGGAGTAAACACAGGAAAACGCAGCCTCGGCCTGCCAGTGGGAAAGCGCAGGGCCAGCGGCTGCTGCAGCCTCCACGTACGTCGTCGGTCCCGGTGCAATGCCACCTCCTAGCATCACTGTCCGGCAGAGCCATGGACAACGCAGGGCGCACGTGCAACCGGAGTCCATACTGGCACTGTAGCCTTGCAGTACTGGGGTTAGTAACCCTTTGGCCAGCGGCATGCACCGAGGCGTCTTCGGCAGTGCCGTGTCGCTTTGCTTTTTGTTCGCAGCGCAGTCTGCCAGATATCCTCGAGCAGGCCTTGCGAGAGGTATGCAATGAAGAGGTAAGTTATCTCTTGTGGGTTGTGAGCAGTGCCACCCGCGTCGTTGCGGAGGACGTCAGTGACGATCACTCCGATTTCGCCGTTGAATGAGCTCTGGGAGGCCTCGGTGGGGTCTGTTTTCCGCCGTGTCTGACTCACAGTGCAGTTTTGTAGTTCCAAGCCTAAAGTGCTCGTAAATGGTGTGCTTTTTGGTGTGAGGACCCGCTGCGAGTCCCTAAGGGCCCCTGCGTGTCCCTAAGGGCCCCTGCCAGTTGCTAAGGGCCCCCTGGCCGCCTTTTCCTGTGGGCTCGCATTAGTAATGACGAGCTTCTGTGTTGCCTTAAGGCAGTGCCGTGCAGTGCGCGCACAAGGCCCCAGAGCCCGAGCCCTTAATGCAAAGTTTGCGTTGGCACCTTGGCCAAAGCTTGGCGTCGCTGGTATCCATTCGCTTCGTGAGTGACGCCAGCACGGACTCGGCAGTGCCGCTTGTCCCTCGATTCCTCCAGTGTGCTCACGTGGATGTTCGTGAGGATGTCAACATTAGGAGATAAGTTATCTCCTTTTCGCAGTCATAAATATGCTGGATGTCAGCTGGGGGGCAGTGTCCCGAGGCCTGAGGCCGCCCTACAGGCTTCTTAGTTTTCAGTAAACTGTGTTGTGAATGCTCCATGCTGTCAAGTTTTGGCGCGGACTGCTCCCGCAGGTCCTTCAGTGCAGCTTCGGCAGGCAGCAGTGCTGCCGATGCCTCACTTCCTAAACCCCGGGGCAGTGCCTCGAGGAGTAGGGCCCTCCGCTTGATTCTTGGTGGTTAGTGCACTGTCTGCCAATGCTTGGTGTGGGTCCAGGCTTTCGTGCGGAGTCCGCAATAAGCTCTGAACCTCTGCTCTTGTTTTCCCCCAAGGCAGCCGTGCGTGTAGCAGTGCTACAGGCATGCAGGCGGCAGTTTTGC